GGGGGGGGGGGAAGGTGGGCACGGAGGAACAGTTCCTTGAATAAAAAATCCAGTGTAACGTTTTTTGAAGCCAATCTATTCGGGGTATTGTGTCATCAGATTTTTTATAAATCAGTAGCGAAGTGGTCAAACGGTTTAAGTCAATTGAATCTTTAGTTGAGTTTTCCAGAAATATTTCCGAATTGAAGGGAGATAGCGAAATTTTCGTAATAGCCTTTTTTGTAGAGCGAATTGGGGGATACTAAAAAGGTCATGAGAAAAATTTTGCTATCTCCCTTAGATTTTGAGATATTCATTGAAAACTGGGCAATAGCCAAAATCGACTTAAACCGTTTGACTTCGCTACTGAAATGATGATAGCATACTTTAAAGATATTACGATAATACTTTATGCATATACAATGGTATATGTAATATAGCACAATATCGTATACTCAATGTATGTTATTATTGTTATCAGTTTATCATTTTTTTTTATTATGTACATTATATTTCATAATCCATATAGTACTCTATTACATATTGTATATTAAAAAAAATATTTGTTGACAAATTTCCCTCCATAACAGATATTTGCAAACTAAAAAGACACTGTCTCATGTGAATCATCCGACCCTTGAGCCAAATATTTCATTGTCATGGACAGCAAAGCAATTCAAATAATTTATTTTTTGATAATTTTCAACTAGCGATTTCGTTGGCCCGAACAAGACTTTCTGTGAACTTGTTCGTTTTTCTCTCAATGTATAGAAAAAATATCCAGTCTCGAGATACAGCAAAGATATCGCGAGATAGAATGCGATTAGTTTCGTTAGTGATTTAGAACATTTCGGAAAGTCATACAAATTAATTCTACATCAATTCAACAATGCTTGTAGCATTGAAGAGTCTTCCAGATAATTCTCAAATTTTCTTATTCCTCATCTTTCTACAGCATTCCATGATTTTTCGGAGACACGAGACACGCAAATGAAAAGAGTGACATTTTTTGGTGATTTTTTTTCTTGAAGTAAACTTTCTAATATCTTTGAAAGCACTTCGTCCAAACGGAAGTTTTGTAATCTTTTCGTTCTCCATTTTGCACATTATAAAAACTGAAAGGACATTGTTAATGATTTTCAAGAGTTTTCGAACATTTCCTGATGCATTTTGGAGTAGTGAAAGGAGCACATAACCTGAACGTTCTCACTGAATGTTCAATCCCCCCACTTGCTCTAAAAAATCATCAACAATCATCTTCCCAACAATTCAAGCCAAAATTACAGCACCGAAAAAACGAAACTCAATAATCAAAGGATTTCACCCCATCGAATACTCCGAAAACCCGAAAAATACTCACCAATTCAGTCCAAAGAGTCCTCAGCAACTGCGGCAATTCCTCGAATCACCATATGACAGTGCGTAAAAATGGCGTCACTGTCAGTAGCCATCCCCCAGTCAACTGCATAAACACAACACAGAGAAACCATCAACTAAATCCCCTTAAAACATTTTTTTCAACCCCAACAGCCCTCGAAAACTCTCCCGACACCTCCCGGCACTCTTCCAACCCCCAAACTCTCCCCTAAAAAATTAAAAACCCCCAAAAGTCTCGTGTGAGCTTTGAACTAACCCCCAAAAAGGATATCTTTCTGCAACAAACCCTTCAAAAACCCAAATACAAGCTTAAAACTAGTTGACAGTGGCCCTGAACCTTGCTGAAGTGGATAAACCTCTCACCCCTTCCACACCCTCTTCTCTAAACGAAAAAAAAATACTAAAAACGATAAAGCAATGTGACAAACTCCAGTTGAAACCTTGAAGAACAATACATTCACTACATCATCTTAACCAAATCATCAGAAGGACCTGCAGAAAATAATTGACAACAGCCCTGGGATGTCACTATCTCACGTGAGTCACTCCCAAAGAATCATCTGGCCTGCATTCCCCAAGAATGAACCCTAGAAATCATAAGGATTAAACGTCGTCGAACAATTACTGAAAGTCTCGAAGGACAATACTCCCCTCATAATTAACATCCTCACCAGCATCATCAGGAAGTTCTGAAGAAAATCTTTAGTAAATACACTGGGGTGTCACACCCCCACGTGAGTCTCTCCCTTCATCTATAAAAAGAAAAAAAAAACCTTAAATACTTGTAGAAAATGTAATTAAATACCCACCTGAAGTCTCGAACAGTAAAATCATCTTGGCCAAGATTATTGAAAAACATTAAAGAAAAGAAAATGATCTGAAAAAAATCATCGACAAAAGATATACGTGAGTGCTCCAATAAAATGTGATTAAATCCCCAGCTGAACGATTGTCATTTCGACCAGTATCATCAGAAGATTCATCAGTCGTGAAGAAAACCCTCGCCAAAAGTCCTGGGGCATCGCCCCCCAAGTGCGTTCAACATGTCCTCAGACGAGATAAACCGAACAGCAGCAGTTCCCACCGAGGAGGCAGGCCAGTCAGTCTCGTCCACCTCAGCCCAACCCCTGTCGAACGGTGAGGTGACTTCCCCCAGGCCTCCAGACCAGGCGAGTCGCCAGAACAATCTCCAGAGGATCCAGCAGCGCAAGCAGCACGTCTTCAACTGGCCCCAGGTGAAGAAGCTCCTGAAGCTGGCGAACTACAGCGCCTGCCAGGTGGAGGACTGCAAGTGCAACGGCTGGAAGAACAGTCAGCAGGTGGTGAAGAGCCCCAAAAGCGATCTCCAACCGATTGCCAACTTCTCCGACCCCTGCAGAAGCTGCACACATACTCTGGAGAGTCACATAAGTCACCTGCCGAAGCAGAATGACGACGAGATCAATAAACTGCTGGGGATGGTGGTGGATGTCGACAATATATTCATGGGGATGCACAGGGAGGAGGACCCAGACACCAAGAAAGTGTACTATTACCTGTTCAAGCTGTTGAGAAAGTGCATTTTGTCGATGACGAAACCTGTTATCGAGGGACCACTGGGGCAGCCACCGTTCGAGAGACCTAGTATTGCCAAAGCCATCACCAATTTCGTTCTGTATAAGTTCGGCCACCTGACGCAGAGGGAGTGGCAGGCCATGTACGACCTGGCGAAGATGTTCCTGCACTGCTTGAATCACTGGAACTTTGAGACCCCCAGCGCCAGGAGGACCACTGGGAACGACGAGGAGGCACCTGCGTACAAGATCAATTACACGAGGTGGCTGGTGTTCTGTCATGTCCCTGCCTTCTGCGACTCTCTGCCGCATTATGATACTACTCTGGTGTTTGGGAGGACTATGCTGAGGGCTGTCTTCAAGTCGGTGTGCAGACAGCTGATGGATAAGTGCCACAGCGAGAGGGATAGGATGTCGCCGGATAAGAGAGTGCTGGTGCTTACACATTTTCCCAAGTGAGTAGGGAGGGGTCTAAATGAATTAAGTAATTTATTTATTGGTTACAGAAACAATAGCATACACTCAGAAAATAAATTATTTTTGCGGAGGAATCATTTTCATGGGAGAAGAATGGATTTTTGGTTCTGAATGAAAGCATTGTAAATGTACAATTTTCGTATTGTCTAATTTTAATTGGAAATTATGTAGAAATTTGGAGACCAGGTCTGTATGTGAGCATGTCCAATTTTATGTCCAATTTATAATTAAAAAAAAATTATATACCTCTTGAAGGGAGGAGCTACACCTACCTGAGGACCCATAACTATTACATGAAGTGTCTTTAAGAAATTTAAATTCATATTAGCTACCTAGGTTGCCCATTATTTAGAAGTCACGAATTGACTAATCAAAAATTAATTTATTATTTTGACTTTTTGGAGCTCACATACCAGCTACGTCCACCTCGCGAACCCTAGGTAACGCTAAACTCTGGTATGGCTTGTTATAAAAAAATAGCCATACCATGCGTTCTTGAATTTAATACAAATTTCGAATTTATAATCTTATTGTTTAGAGAATTAAGTAATTAAGTGGCTAAAGTAATTCCCAAAAAATATGAAATTTTGTCAGATTGAATCTAATAGTTTTTGAGAAACATCTATTCTTTTTCAAATGATTTTTCGCAAAGATCTTCAAAACTAGCGGACCGATTTCAATTTTTTTCCAAAGTATTCGTTTCGAATACGCCCGTTCATACAAAGTTTTCGAGATATTCCCGTTTTTCCGTTTTTTCATTTAAAAAAATTGGTAATCTCTTTAGCTTGTGCAAAAATCGAGATATCAACTTGTTTTAGGAGCGTATTTCTCCAGGCCAGTCAGTCCCAGATACTCCAAGTTCATCTCTAAAGATTACAGTTATGTTGAATTATAAGATGTTTATGCTACACATGAGCTTGAATGAGCCCCTTTCATTATTTTTCAATTTCTTTAATTTGACATTTTTTTAGGTAAAATAACTAGGAATAATTCTAAATGTTAATAATTGTGGATGCAGTTCATTCAAGGTCACATGTAGCATAATCATTCCATAATTCAATATAATTGTAATATTTAAAAATGGAAATAAAAGGAAAGAGGGTTGTGAAGATTTGTGATTTGTGATGAGAAGGAAAAAATAGTCATGTGCTTGTGAAAATGTTCTCGAGTGTTTTTCCATTTTTATAATCTAAAATATATCACAATTTCCACTGGATTTTACATCACGTAGGTGTCCCTAAAAATTATGATTGCACAATCAAAAACAGTAAAAAAAAACTGAACATGTTCAAAGAGAATTTTTAATAAAGATTAGGAAATAAGTCCGACAGAGAGGAAATTGTGAATGGATAATTTATCATGGCAACTAACAATCTGACAGGCATTGACTACTGAGACAAATGACGACTGAACAGCCATTAGATACTGTAAATTATTAATTTGTAATTTTCTCTTTTTTGGGTTTAACTCCCAATATTATTTAAAAACGCTCTTTGAAAATATTCAGTTTGATTCAACGTTTTTTCGATTGTACAATCATAATTTTTGGAGACTCCAGGGCTATGTAAAACTGAATGGCAATTCAGAACATTTTAGATTATGAAAATAAAAAAAAAAACAAATCAGATCAGTTCGAAATATGATACACTCGGACCTTAAAAGTAAACTCTTTGAAATAAATTATCCATTTTTCAGATTCCTCTCGATGCTAGAAGTTGAAATCTACTCGGACTCCCCAATCTGGGACCCAGAATTCAAGCAGGTCCCCCCGCCCCATCTCCACGTCTCCACAGACTCCAAGTCTCTCCTCACACGTCGCACCGGAGAATTCGAGAAGGTCACAGTGCCCCCGAACGACTCCTCCACGTACACAACCATCAACATCTCCCCAGGTATCAAGAAGCTCACGGAGAAGCGCCCTCACCCCGAGGGTCGCCCGGAGGCGAAACGTCGGCGAGTGGAGGACCCCTTCGAGGACCTCCCAGAGGACACAGTCTCCGAGATAATCGCCACAATCAATGATCCTAACTACATGTGTGGTCCAGATGCAGTCTTCCCTCCTAATGTTCCACGAGACGAGACGGCGAAGATAGAGGAGAGTCGAAAGATCATCGAGTTCCAGGTGATAGGTAATAGTTTGACTTGGAATTCTTTAGAAATTTATGTCTTTTCATTATTCATTATTTTCCAAATTTTTCTCCATCTTTTCCATAATTTTTTATAATTTTATCCAAAAAATTTGAACGAATTCCCAGAATTTTCACTTGTAATTTACTATCAATTCATTCACTTCCCAATTACATTTATTTTTATTTTTTTTATTGCTGGAAATGAAAATGGCATGAAACATATCCTACACATTTCTTTTTCAATAAATAATGAAAAATTAATAAGTTATAGGCAATTGAAAAAGTATTATGAAGTCATACTGTACGTTTTTTCAATTTTCCATCATACAAATCATTTGTTGGAAATCGTAACAAATTTATATTCAAAATTTAACCAGAAAGCATTTTCATGCCTAAAAAAATAACGTTTCCAAAAGATTAAACAATTTTAACCATTCATAAACAGCGAATGTTTAAAAAATAATAATCCTGTGCAAAATCAAATTTGAATGAATCTGAATATTCATTTCTTTTTAAATTTTTCCTCGCGCAATTCAGTTGACAAATTTGACGATTGAAAATGGTCGAATCTACAATGTGGTCTGTACCAAACTGTAAAAAATACCAGGATATCCTTAATTACTGAACCCTTCCAGCAATTGAATTATTTGAAATGAATTCCACGAGTACGTTAATTAAGAAAGATTTGTTTGATCTCGAAAATACAAGCATTTGCATTCTCCACCAGGTAACAGCCTGACACAACCAGTCTCCAAGCAAACGATGCTCTGGTTGATCGGTCTGCACAACGTCTTCAGCCACCAGTTGCCCCGCATGCCCAAGGAGTACATCTCACAACTAGTCTTCGACCCAAAGCACAAGACCCTCGCTCTGATAAAAGACGGTCGACCAATCGGAGGCATTTGCTTCAGGATGTTCGCCACCCAGGGCTTCACCGAGATCGTCTTCTGCGCAGTGACCAGCCAGGAGCAAGTGAAAGGCTACGGCACCCACTTGATGAACATGCTGAAGGACTACCACATCAAGAACAACATTCTGCACTTCCTCACGTTCGCAGACGAATTTGCCATTGGTTATTTCAAGAAGCAGGGCTTCAGCAAGGACATTAAGCTCCCTCGACTGATGTACCAAGGGTACATTAAGGATTACGAGGGGGCCACCCTGATGCACTGCGAGCTCAACGCCAAGATCGTTTACACCGAGTTCACTGCGGTTATCAGAAAGCAGAAGGAGATTGTCAAGAAGCTGATTCAGCAGAGACAGCAGGAGATACAGAAGGTCCATCCTGGGCTGACTTGCTTCAAGGAGGGGGTCAGGGGAATCCCTGTGGAGGCCATCCCTGGGATCAGGGAGACTGGCTGGAAGAGCTACGCTCAGACCAGGACCAGGGGCGTTGCCAAAGGGACTCAGGGCCCTGAACCCATGGAGGCGTGCCTCGATATCACTGATTCGTTGTACAATGCCTTGAAGAATGTGCTTAATAGTGTCAAGAATCACAGCACTGCTTGGCCTTTCCTCAAGCCCGTGGACAAGAATGTTGTGCCTGATTATTATGATCATATTAAATATCCTATGGGTGAGTGAAAGCGTTATTATTTAAGGGGGAGGAGTGAGGGAGGTTTGGAGAGGGGAGGTAAAAGGGGATGAGGAGGCTTTAGTTAGATTCAAGTTTTTAGAGGGAGTTGAATTGAATTGTTGAGGAATTTTTGGGAGGAAATTTTCGAAACGATAGAAACTCATAAGAAACGTTTTAGTTTTTTTTCAAATCTGGTAGGTTGAGAGATATCTGTTAGATGTTTTTTTAGGTTTTAAGGAGTCTTATCACTGATGTCTTTCTTCCAAGTCTTTCGCAAATGTCTTGGAAACTATTGAATTTATGGAGAGATGTTGTGAAACTTTCTTGGAAGAAATTTTAAGGATCAGACGTTCTTGAACGATTTTGACAATTTTTTCTGTTCCTTGATTCAAGTTATAGACTCTCTGTACTTCGTTTGTAAATATCTTAGGAATGAGAAAATTTCTTTCGACAGTTTCCAATAAAACAACTATTTAAGCAAATATTTTATATATTTTTTGGATTTATTACTTTCAGAGACATTCACGAAATAGTTTCCTATTGATTTTGTGAAGTTTTTTTCACAAATTTCCTTCGTTCAAATTACTAGAAAATATCATAAAAGCTAATGAATTTATAAAGAACTGGTAAGAGATCTTTTTGAAGGATTTTTCAAGGACTGATAATAATGTCTCTCGACAGCTCCTGAATCTACTAGTGTTCTAAAGCTGTTAGACATCAGGGGAATATAATTTTCTTCGTTCAATCATGTTTGTTTCATCGATTCTCTTAATTGTATCATGAATATCTCGAAAACTATTTAGTTTATGACAAAATATTAAAATACCTGGTTTTAATGGAATGATAAGGGACTAGGAAAGAAGTCTCTTTACATTTTGTCGTCGACTATCTCCTCATCTCGATAATTTTACAAATAGAATAAATTCAGCTTGGAATAAATCCATTCGCCACTTCATTACAAAAATTGATGCAATATTCTATCATTGATTCTATCATTAAGGTGATATTGTCAATTGAATCTGCTAATCTCTTAAAGCTGCTAAATATTTGGAGAATATACTTTTTTTCATTCAATAATTCATTCTTTTTGCCATCAGTTCTGTCAATTTTGTAATAAATATCTCGAAAACTATTTGATGTGTGAAGAAATCTCAAAAGACGTTAAATTCACAAATGGAATAAATTCGACATTCAGCTTGGAATAAATCCATTCGCCACTTTATTACAAAAATTGATGAAATATTCTATCATTAAGTTGATATAGTCAATTGAATCTGCTAATCTGTTAGAGCTGTTAAATATTTGGGGAATATACTTTTTTTCATTCAATAATTCATTCTTTTTGCCATCAGTTCTCTCAATTTTGTAATAAATATCTCGAAAACTATTTGATGTGTGAAGAAATCTCAAAAGACGTTAAATTCACAAATGGAATAAATTCGACATTCAGCTTGGAATAAATTCATTTGCCACTTTATGACAAACATTGATGAAATATTCTATCATTAATTCTATCATTAAGTTGATATAGTCAATTGAATCTGCTAATCTCTTAAAGCTGCTAAATATTTGGTGAATATACTTTTTTTCATTCAATAATTCATTCTTTTTGCCATCAGTTCTCTCAATTTTGTAATAAATATCTCGAAAACTATTTGATGTGTGAAGAAATCTCAAAAGACGTTAAATTCACAAATGGAATAAATTCGACATTCAGCTTGGAATAAATTCATTCGCAACTTTCATTACAAAAATTGATGAAATATTTCCATCATTAAGTTAACATAGTCAATTGAATCTGTTTCAAGACCTCAAAACAATGACTGATCGACTCAAGGCGAGGTACTACGTAGCCCGTCGCCTCTTCATCGCTGACATGACGAGGATATTCACCAACTGTCGCCTCTACAACAGCCCAGACACTGAGTACTACAGATGTGCCAATGCCCTCGAGAAATACTTCCGAACGCGCATGAAGGAAATCGGTCTATGGGACAAATAACCCGAATTCCATTTTTAGTTTTCCTTAATGAATAAACAATCAATTTGTGATCCCAATTCCAATTTTCACTATTTCCGTCTCTGATTAAGAAGATTCAATCTATTCAATATACATTAGATTTCTTTTATTTTTATCTTCGAATTTTTATTTTTCCGATTGAGCAGATTTAAACAAGCACTTGGAAAATTACCGATCTTTTTTAAGCTGATGGAGAGAATTATCTCCATCATGTTAACAACCATTTGAATTTTACAACCCAGTTGATTATTTAGAAATAAAGTGGATAATGTGCACCTAATGAGTATTTTAAATACCTGTTATTTTCCTAAGTAACTCAGTTTTTTTCCCGACCTTGGGTTGGACTTATCTATCAACATGACTGTCTATTGTGTTTCTTAATTATTTAAATCTTCCAGTAAGTGAATTATTAATTTGAAATGAATCCCATAAGTGCGCTAATTAAGAAAGATTTATTTATTTCAACTTTTCAAAGTATTTCATCAGATTTTTCTTCTTCATTGGGAAAGTTAGTTTCGTGTACATATGTTTTTTATCAGTAACTGAAATTACATATTTTTTCCAAATTTTAATTGTCTCGATGTCCATCTATTTAATATCATCGCTGTATAGCCAAAGCGGCATGAATGGCAAAATCCTTTTTTTTGAAAGGCAAAAGGACGTATATTCCGTTTCAATGGTTTTTCGACTTAAGACCCTGGTGGATTGTCTTTCGAACGTTATCTCGATTGTTTTTCCATCTTCATAATCCAAAATATATCACATTTTCCATTGGATTTTACATCACGCAGAGTTCCTAAAAATTATGATTGTACAATCAACAAAAGTGGAAAAAAAACTGAACATTTTCAAAGAGCGTTTTTAATAAAGATTAAGAAATAAGTCCGATAGAGAGGAAATGGTGAATGGATAATTTATCATGGTAACTAACAATCTGACATCCATTGACTACTGTGACAAATGACGACCTAACAGCCATTAGATACATCAAATTATTAATTTGCAATTTCCTCCCTATTGGGTTTATTTCTTAATATTATTTTTTAAAAGTCCTCTTTGAAAATTTTCAGGTTGGTTTCAACGTTTTTTTGATTGTACAATCATAATTTTTGGAGACTCCAGGGCTATGTAAAACTGAATAGCAATTGGAGATCATTTCAGACTATCAGACTAATTTTTTAAGGACACCTACGTGATGTAAAATCCAGTGGAAATTGTAATGTATTTTAGATTATGAAGATGGAAAAACAATGGAGATAACGTTCAAAAGATTACATTTTGAAATTATTTTTTTTATCGTACCAATAGAAGAAAAAAAATCATAGCAAATTTTTTTATTTGGTTCAGTATTTTTTGATACACTAACAGTCTTCGGAATTCTTCTCCTGAATGATATCTGGACAATTAGCGCCACTACATTTTAATTTTTCATGCTAAAATATTCATAAATTTCTGCTCAGTTTACAATAAAAATTTCCCTCCATGCAGAATTTTCGGAAACTGGGTATTGATACTGTCGGCAAAGAGTTACAACTGAAAAAAAGTCATTAAGAAAAATTCTATATTTATACCCGGCAAAACTGGAGTAGCACTATTTTACAGTCTAATTAATACTATTAAACCTAACCGTTAATTAAAGGATGTAATCCAGCGTTCATAACGAGTACTCCTCCCCTTCTCCATCAAGATTTAGAGGTGTTCGCACGTCTTGAGAGTCACTTAATGGAACGACGATCACAGCTCAACGTTTTTTGCCTAACTAAACTCGTGTTTTGTTGATTATTACTGACGTGAAAATTCTTCAATGGGAATACTTGGGGAACTGGGCGGTTTGGAGGAAAAGCGAAGCTTTACGCACGAGAATTCACTTTACGCACGCTCGTGAACTTCACGCACGTGCCGAAAACAACCGCTTTGCGCACACTAAACCGTTTCGAAAAGTGCACTTTTCAGCCAGATATCACAAAAAAATGTTCTCTGACTTTTTTTCCCAGCCCATCAACTTGAGAAAAATTTGAAAGAGGAATGGGAAAAAATTGATGATGTTAGAAAATTGAATTCAAAGATATAAAATTCTACTCTGCAATTCCAAGAGAGAAAATTTCCGAAAGGTCTTCCTGGAAACCTTGTTATTAGACCATAAAATTTCTTACAAGCAAGGTTTTTTGGTAGTTCTCGCTAATCCTTCAATTTCCAGAGATACTTGTAGGCTAAATAGACTAAATTAATAGAAACGAAAACTAGAATAAACAGAAAGAAGAGGTCGTTAGGTATTTTTCTCTATATGCAGTTGTTTTGCAGAAACTGTAAGAAGAAAATATGAATTTAAAATTTTAAAAAATAATGAAAAAAGATGGGACAAATATCTACAAAACTCATTCGTTCAGGAAAAAAAATTCGTAGATTCATTTTGAAAAGAATATAATGATCTACAAAAACTGTCTTCTGCTATTCTTTTCTAGACTCAGTGCTTTCAAAAAATCTATCCTACAATTCTGAGAGAGAAAATACCCAAAGGATCTTTTTCCATAAAATCATTCTGGAAACCCGTTCATTGAATTACTCAATGAATTCTTGCTAGCAAGGTTTTGTGACAGTTTCCGCTAATCCCGCGACTTTCAAAATGTTAAAGAGAGAGTAAATTAAAAGGAACGAGAACAGAACAAAAAATAGTGAAAAATAGTGAAAACACTACTTAACAAATATCTTCAAAACTTATCTGTTCAGGAAAAAATGGCGCGAAGATAGTTTGAAAAGAATATAATGAAGAATATAAGAATGTAATCTACAAAAATAGTCTCTTGATACTGTTTCCTAAACTCAATAGTTTTCGAGACAATTGCAAGAAAGGCGCAGCGAAAAATAATCGTTAAAAATTATCTGATAGTTTTCCTCGCTGTTCTCCACCTTCTTCCCGACACGTTTGCTAATTAATCGATCGTTTTTGTCGATGTAATTGACTCGATTCGACGTACTTGAGGAGCAAATGAATGGAACGAACGAGAAATGATTGAACGTCTCTTTTTTTCATTTTTCTGTTTTATTACGACTGAATTTAGTTCCATTTCCTGAGGATGAGAAATAAATAAATTGATGTGGAAGGAAAAGGTCGACTCGAGAGGTTTACCTTCGGGATTTGACGCCTTTTAGGGTCCAAGGTGGAATCGTCGAATGTATCGATTTGGTTTTGTCCATTAATCAGGCCATAACATCACGATAGATACGTAAAAACGTGAACTGTGACAAATCGAGGTCAAGGACGGATCCATGAGGTATTGATCTAAATTTCCAAATGTTATTGAGGATATGTTCAATTGTTGGGTGTTTACAGTTCCAAAAAAATTGTGGGCAGATGGAATTTTCCGAGATATTTGTTGCAATGTGTCGATGAATTATTCATGAATTTTTTCTTCTCTTCGGGATGAAATATTGCGGCTCTTTTAGATTTGTTGAATGATTCAACGTTTTTTATCGAGTTTCATCTCTCATTTCATTCTTAATTCATTTTTAAGATGATTTATTTAGTGGAAATTCAGTGGTACAAGGGAATAAGTCCGTAAAAGAGTTTTTTTTAAACTTCATAGTTTTTTCCATTTTTTTCATTTCCTTTCTCACATGGAAAAATTTCAGAGAATTTAACGATTTTCTTTGGATTTCCATTGCACTTTTGTTGGAAATTCTATTAGTTTTTGAAGAATTTTAGCCGTATTTTGGTAAAAAATGTCTGATAAAAACTGTTTTCTCGAAAAAAATCTGCAGAATTTCATATTTCTATGCATTTTTTTTTACTGAAACATTTTCTATAGGAATTCCTCGACATAATTTTTTTTCATTCCATCTTCTTTCTCTTTTCATGATATAATAGATGATAATCCAGATAGCCTGAACGGTCGCCAGCAAATTTTATTAGGTTTCAAAATTTAGAAAATTCGCGCCAAGGAATTTCTGTAGAAAATATCTCACTAGAATAATTTGCATAAAAAAATCCAATTCTATTGATTTTTCGCACAGATAAACTGCAGAACTTTTCAATAGAACTAAATACCCTGGGAACCCATGAATTCACGAGAAAAATCTGAAAGGCCTTTTCCACAGAAAATTTCCCTCTCTCAGAAAAAATCTTCGAAATTTTCCGGCAAACCCCCCACATCCACCTCTAGCCTCTCCTCATTCAGCCAATCTTCATTTGAACTAAATAAACTGAATTTTCCCTCTTTCTCACGAAGAAATACAGCCGCTTGCATGCTCTGTTTAATGCTTGCCGGCTCCATTCATTCTCGGATCCTGAAAATCACGAAAGACGACTAATTGGTCATTGAGATCTCCAATTAACATCCAACACCCATTAATCGACAATTTAATCGGCTGTGGATTAATTAATCCCACTGCACATCTTCACTCTATTCATGAATTCCCCCGCAAATGAGAGAGTTTGAATTTCTGGGAATAAAGGCCCCGGGGGAAATTCTTCATTAGCATATGGGGGAGTGAAACTAAATCTGCAAAAAAACGAGCGACAAAAAAATAATTGAAGATGTAAAATTTCAATTGTTTTGTTGAGACAATTGAGTACATTCAGAAGACACAATTATAGACGGCAAAAAATTGTGGAGACGTGTAAAAGGCTTGTGAGATTATTTAGAGCAAGAGTGTTTGTACGTACGTTTTACCATATATGCTCAGGATACCACCGAGTAAGGCGTAGAGGGGAGTTGATATAAAGAGTGGAAGAAGTGTCTCACTGGCCACTTCGTGAAGACATCGAAGAATTGCGAAAGCTTATTTTTGTGTGCTCTAGTCAATCGTTGAGGATTTACGGATTTTTCTTTTTTTTGTGAGGATTTTTCTTTATTTGTGAGGAACAACATGTGCGACGACGATGTGGCTGCACTGGTGGTGGACAATGGATCCGGAATGTGCAAGGCCGGTTTCGCTGGGGATGATGCACCCAGGGCGGTTTTTCCCTCCATCGTGGGACGCCCCAGATACCAAGTAAATTAATTTATGCGGCTTTTGGGGGGTTTGGGATCATTTTAAAAGTGAATCTGTGAAATTGGACAAATTCGTTTCATTTGATGATCAGGTTTTCGGGAGGGAAACGCGCGTGAAAAAATTTCGAAAAGTCTGGCGATTTCGATAGGAAATTCTAGTGGATTTCTATTGGAAATTCTGTTCTTTTGGTCGATTCTATTGAACACTGCTGCTTTATTGTGTTTTTAATCGATAATTAGAAGCGAAGCGGTAAAATGATTCAAGTCGATTTTCTAGCGAATCCTGGCGAATTCGCTAAACAATTCTATTGGATTTCTATTGAAGTTTCTATTATTTTTTGGCTGATTCTATTGAAATGATCGATAGAAAATATTCTATGGAAAAAGTGAATAGGATTCGATTTTTCTGTACCGCTTTAGAGATCGGCATAATCGAAATTTAGAATTACAGTTAAATTTGGAATAAGTAATAAATTTGAAAATAACCATCAATTTAAATTTTCAAATTTCGAATTATTTTATCAACCAATAATTGAGAAATTAAATTACCAATTTTTATATTAATTTTCAAATTCCATTAAATTCATCTATACACGTATGAAAAATAAATAATTAAATAAATATAAATGAATAAATAATCTAAATAAATCTAAATTACTATAAGGTGCACCTTTCTATAATATTACTAAAAGTAATGATTGATGCCGATCTAGGTAGCACTTATTCTGTCGAGATATTTTCTATAGAATTTCATCGGCTCAAATTTTCTAAGTTTTTCTTGCTTGATTATCTTTATGAAAAATATAATGAAGAAAACTTGGAAAATTTGGCTCCACGGCAAAATATCACATATCAAAATATCACCGGCAACAAATCATGCCTCAAAATATGACGAAACAAAATATCACCGGTAAAAAATATCACACACAAAAAATATCACAAACCAAAATGATCATAAACAAATTAAAAAAAAAAATTACGAGTGTACATGAATTGAAAACAAATCAAACAATTTCTCCTAAACCCAAACAGAAAATCAATATATTGATTTATAAGGAGAGGGAAAAACCCAGCAGTGTTTACATACTGAAAATGGAATTAAATAGCCGTATTGTGGCAATGAATTATCGAAGAAAGAAAGAATTACACGGCCGTGTTCACACACGCGACGAAAAATCAAGAAAAACCATTGAAATATCATTGAATATATTGAAAATTTAAAAAATTAATTAATATTATTGAAAATTTAAAAATTACATGATATGATATGATATGAGATTTTAAAAACTGATATTTATCACAAATGATATTTTCATATTATGATATTTATCCATGTGATATTTTTTCATGTGATATTTAGCGGTGTGATATTTTGAGACTGATATTTTGCCGTGATGCCGAAAATTTGAGCCGAAGAAATTCTATAGAAAATGTCTCAATAGAATAAGTTGAATAGAAAAATCGAATTTGCTAGGTTTTTCTATTAAAAGTTTTCGTGCGTGCGTTAATGAGAAGATATAGAAATATACAAGAAATAGAATGGAATAATTGAAAAACGATTGAGGAAAATATCAAACAAACGTTTTTTTTTTCATTAAATCTACTAGTCAATAAAACATTTCGAAAGAACACCTACGAAACAATTTTTTTAGAAAAACTTTACTGAATTTCGATTGAATTTTTTAGTAGTCTTCGGTCGGTTCTATTGAAGAGTTTTGCAATTTATCTGCTTGTCTTCTTTTAATAGAAATGTTCAATGGAAAATCTTCTCTACGAAAAATCAATAGAGTTGCATTTTTTCGTGCCACTTATTCTATTCAAATATATTCTATAAAAATTCCTCGGTTCGATAGAAATCTGATGAAATTTTCTAACGAATTTGCTAGGTATTTTTATTAAATTTACTCGTGCGTGCGTTTATGAGAAGATATGGAAATAAAACAGAAATAGAATGGAAAAATTGCAAAATAATTTTAAAAAATGTCAACTGTTTTTTTCTTTAAATCTACTAGTCAATAAAACATGTCGAACGAACACGTACGAAGCAATTTCCTAGAAGAACTCTAAGACATCGGCATAATCGAAATTTTGAATTACAGTTGAATTTGGAATAAGTCAATTCTTAACATTACTCCCCAATTTTTTTATTTTAAAAATAGCCATCAATTTAATTTTGCAATTTCGAATTATTTTATCAACCAATAATTGAGAAATTAAATTACCAATTGTTATATTTTTCAAATTTCAATTACGATAAATAAACCTAAATTACTGTAAGCTGCAACTTCTCATATTACTAAGATAATGATTGATGCCAATCTCATAAAACTCTACTCTACTGAATTTCTATTAAATTTTCTAGCAGTTTTCAGCCGGTTCTATGCAGTAGCGAAGTGGTAAAACGGTACAAGTCAATTATGTCTATTGACTATTCATTTTTCAATGAATATCTCGAAATCTAAGGGACATAGCGAAATTATTATTATAACTTTTTTGTAAAGCCGATAGAGAGCTACAACAAATGTTATTACGAAAATTTCGCTATCTCCCTTAGATTTGGAAATATTCCTCAAAAACTCAACTGGGAGATAAGTCGACTTAAACCGTTTTACCACTTCGCTACTGTATTGACGAGTTCTGCAATTTATCTGCTTGTCTTTTTTTGATAGAAATGTTCAATGGAAAATCTTCTGTACGAAAAATTGATAGAACTGGATTTTTTCATGCCACTTCAATAGAAATTCAATAAAATTTTCTAACAAATTCGCCAGGTTTTTCCATTAAATTTTTTGGTGCATGAATCGTTGCATTAAATTCCCAGAGACCCCTAAAAAATCTTAAAAAAATTCTCTCCAAAGGTAATAGAAATAGGGTTTTTTTTTTCTGAAATAGAGTTTTTTTCTTTGATCCTTAAATTTTTCCCTACGCAACGTATTCTGTTTCTTTTTCCATACTCCTTAAGGATATCCAAAGTATCTTTTACAGTTTGGTACAGCCCGCACTATAGATTCAACCATTTTCAATCATCAAATTTGTCAATTAAATTGCGTGAGAAAAATTTGAAAAAAATCATGAATATTCATTCAAATTACATTTTGCACAGAATTATTATTTTTTTCAACATTCATTGTTTATAAATAAATAATTGAAATTGTTTAATCTTTCGGAAACCTAATTTTTTTAGGTGTGAAATCGATTTCTGGTAAAATGCTGAATATGAATAAATTTGTTACGATTCCGAACAAATGATTTTTGTGGTGGAAAATTGTTTATAAGTTATTTATAGAAAATGCTCGTAATTTTCAAAAAATGCAATTTTTTAATTATTTCATCAATCTTACTCCAAAAGTAAACTTTCTAATTCTCTTTTCAAATTTTTAAAATGTTTTCTAACGGTTAAATATCGAGATTCAAATTCAGACCTGCAAAGTTTAAATAATAAAATCATTGTAAAATGTCCGGAAACTTGGGTTCAAATGGGGCTCAAATGAAAGCTCTGCTGTTCGACTACAAAAGTAAAAAAGCATTTCAGTGGAGAAAAAATAGCCAAAGTACTTGGATATCCTTAAGCACCACAAAATAAAAATTCGCAATCTTTCTGCAAAATGCATTGCAAAATACTCTTTATGCACTAACTATTTATGTCCAAGCTCATTGTGATACTGTTACTCGATGTACCTGATTGTTATATATGTCAATAAAGACCTTTAAAATGTTAATGAATCTCCAAAGGGAATAATGGTGGGGATGGGCCAGAAGGACTCCTACGTGGGTGACGAGGCCCAGAGTAAGCGAGGTGTCCTCACCGTGAAGTACCCGATCGAGCACGGTATCGTGACAAACTGGGATGACATGGAAAAAATCTGGCACCACACATTCTACAACGAGCTTCGCATTGCCCCCGAGGAGCACCCAGTCCTCCTGACCGAGGCCCCCCTGAATCCAAAAGCAAATCGCGAAAAAATGACCCAAATTATGTTCGAAACTTTCAATTCACCAGCAATGTACGTTGCCATTCAGGCAGTCCTATCGCTCTATGCATCCGGAAGAACAACTGGCATTGTCTTGGACAGTGGTGACGGTGTTTCCCACACTGTGCCCATTTACGAAGGTAAATCCTCACTATACCTACTCACCTTTTTACGGCATCAAAAAAACATTTATTTTCTACACCCATAAATGGAATCTAGTTCTCTCATTTATCCTTTTTTTGGCATGAGAATACGATTATCTGAGATTAATTGACTTATTTTGGTATTCAGGGTATGCACTGCCACACGCTATTCTACGTTTGGATCTTGCTGGAAGGGATTTGACGGATTATTTGATGAAGATACTTACTGAGCGTGGATATTCATTCACAACAACTGCTGAGCGTGAGATCGTTAGGGATATTAAGGAGAAATTGTGCTACGTTGCCCTTGATTTTCAACAGGAAATGGCAACTGCTGCGGAATCTAGCGCTCTTGAGAAGAGCTATGAACTTCCTGATGGACAAGTAATTTTTTTTATTGTTTTTGATGACATGGGCCGAAAAAAATTCATCGAACAATCTAGTGCATTCGCTGGAGCATTCTAATTGCACTTTTATCGGAAATTGTATTAGTTTTTTTAACCATTTCATTGAAAAATACAATTGCAGCTTTTCTATTATGCGTTTTTTATAGAAAAGTTCGGGAGAAAATAGTGTCTGTAAAAAATTAATAGAGTTTGATTTTCAATAGAAATTCTCTACTTTTTCCCCTCGATTTTTGCAATGAGAGAGGGAAGTGGAGTGGACAAAGAATGAAAAAATAACAAATGAATTGAATTAATTCAATTTTTTCCAATCACGTTTTCCCAATTCTACATTTTCAACGTCCATTTTCCTCAATTTTAGAGATTTAATTTTTGAGAGTAATTATGTAATTACGTTAGTGTTTTAAACTATTCTATTGAAAAATTGCGCACTATTTCTATGCGTTTTTTAATAGAAAAATACAATTGAGAAAATTGTGTAGAAAAAAACTATTGAATTTGATCTTTCAATACCGATTATTCTATTCTACAACAAAAAGCTGTAGAATTTTTCAAATAGTGAGAAAAATGGAAAAATAACAAATTTAACTGATTTGATTAAATTTTTTTAGTTCGCTTTTTTCCAAGTTTACTTTTTCAACGTTTTTTACTTAATTTTATGAATGAGAGAAGAAAAAATGAAGTAAAACCAACTAGGAAAAATCATGCCGAAGATTTCTGCAGAAAATATCTCGATACAATGAATTGCAAATATTAGATTCTATAATTTTTTTCTACAGAATTTCCTCGGCTAAAATTTTCCAAGTTTTCTTCATTCTATTTTTCTCTTCTTTTCATCAAGATGATCAAACAAAAACACTTAGAAAATTTGAGTCGATGAAATTCCATACAAATATCTCAATAGAAAAAGTGGTACAAAAAAATCGAATTCTGTCGACTTTTCCTATAGAATATTTTCCATTCAACATTTCAATGAAATAGAATCAGCTAAAAATTAATAGAAACTTCAGTAGAAATTCAACATAATTGCCCAACAAATTACCTAGGTTTTTCAATGAAATGTTTTTCTATGAGAATAGAATCATCAAAGAACTGACATAATTCAACAGAATTTTCAAACAAAATTTTTGATCAAATTTTGCAAAATTAAAAAATTGTGTTTGAAGGGAAACCTTGTCTAATTCATTACGTTCGCTCACTAGGTAATTACCATCGGTAACGAACGTTTCCGCTGTCCCGAGGCAATGTTCCAGCCAAGCTTTCTGGGCATGGAGTCCTGTGGAATTCACGAGACCACTTACAACTCAATAATGAAGTGTGACGTCGATATTCGTAAAGATCTTTACGCAAATTCAGTTCTATCTGGCGGTACCACCATGTATCCTGGTATTGCCGACAGAATGCAGAAGGAGATCACTGCACTCGCTCCTTCGACCATGAAAATTAAGATAATTGCACCACCAGAGAGGAAGTACTCAGTATGGATTGGTGGCTCGATTCTCGCGAGTCTCAGTACATTCCAGCAAATGTGGATATCCAAGCAGGAGTACGACGAGTCTGGACCATCAATTGTCCACAGAAAATGCTTCTAAGCTGGACCACACTCTGAGTAAATTTCCTCTGTCCCTCGGACCGAACGTTTAATCAAAATATATTTATTTATTACCTACTAATCGAGGTGATTAATTCGTCAAATTAATTTTTCTTTCTTTTCTTCATTCGATTAATTGAATGTTACTTGATTAAGGCCAATTTGTTACTAGAATCTATCGAAAATTTTGAATAAGCAAGGCTTTATTACTTTTTTTAGTGGTAATTTGTTAGTTTTTAAGAGCTTGAAAGTTTAAGTGAAAATGTATCGCAGTTTGAAATATAATTTGCACTGTTTCAATAATTTATTCTCATTTTTTTAGTACTTAGGTGAAATTTATAAGTAGTTTGTTTATGAATTATGCATTAGTTTGATGAAGTGTGGAATAGGTCATTCTCATCTGTCGATTTTGGACGGAAATTTTATAAGACATTTTTTGCAAAGAATTTCATGTTCTACAAAAGAGTTCTTTTGACTTTTTCCTCTAAACCTATTCATTATTATTAGAGAATTGCGTTTTTCATTGAGTTATCTTGGGAATATCTGAGTAAATGGTAGATTGAAGAAAGAATGTTATGAGATATTTTCCGTAGAATACTTCATGCTCTTTAAAAAAAATCTTTTGACATTTTTTTTGCTATCTACTCGTTTCTGAGATATACTGCAGAATAATTTTGTTTTCCCAACTTTTTAACAAATGTTTCCTTTCATTCCCTTTGGAATTTTTTTTAAACTAGTAGACCTGGGAGACAATGTCAGAAAGTCCTTTTTATAAGGATTATTATACACTCTATAAAAACTCTTAACATTTTTCCTAAATCTACTTGTTTCTGAAATATTTGCAGAATTGTATTTAAATTTTCTATTCATTTTCCAATAATAATTTTCCTTTTGCATTCCTCTTGCAAACATCTTCACTACTAGTAGATTTAGAAGAGCCTAAGAAAGACATTTTTGTAAAGAATTTCTTGAACTAAAAAAAAACTCCCAACATCATTCTCTCAGTTTATTAATTTCCAAGATGTTCACAAAATCTCATTTCTTCCCGTAAATTCTCAAAAGAGATTAATCCCAGTTTTCTTCTCAATAAAATAAAAGAAAGATTTAACCCCATCATTTTCTTTTATTCGCACTTCTTCAATCGTTCTACTTATTCGAATAAGTCATTCTCATCTGTAGATTTTTGAAAACGTATTTGAAGGAAAACATTACAAGACATTTTTTGCAGAAAACTTCATGTTCTACAAAAAAGATCTTTTGGCTTTCTCCTCCAAACGCATTTATAATTATTAGAGAATAGTTTTTTCTTTGATTCATCTTGAGAAAAAAATCTTTCGACATTTTCTCCTAAATCTACTTGTTTCTGAGATATTTACAGAATTATATTCAAATTTTCTATTCATTTCCCATGAATAATTTTCCTCTTCCATTCCTACTGTTACACTGTTAGAAGAAATTTTTGTAGAGAATGTCTTAGGCTCCAAAAAAATAACTCCTAACATCGTCCTCTCAATCTATTAGTTTCCAAGATATTCACAAAGTTGTCCCATTTCTTTTCATAAATCCTCAAAAGGAATTAATCCCACAGGTTTCTCCTCAATAAAATAAAAATCAAGGTTTAACTCGGTCATTTTTTTTATTCTTATATATTCCTTCAATCTTCGTATTTACAAATCGTCATATTGTACTCTCTTTAGGCTCGTAAAACCTCGATCCATCAAGTCCATGTAATTTTCACAAAATTGGACGGTCAATCGATAATTTTTACAATTTCATTTGATATATATCGAAATAGAATTTCAATGATCAGCTACAATTACTGGGGATTAGTTGATTAATTAATGCATGGACATCACCGACAAATGCATCACTAGTGAGTGACGCGGGTAAACTGTGACGAATCGAACGGTCTGTTTAGTATTTCTCCTTTTTTACTCTCGTCGAAAAATTGAGTTTTGTTTAAAATACATCACAGAGTCCTTAGAAATCTAGAGTTCTTGATGACCAGAGCTATGCCCCAATCACTTTTAATCATTATTTTTATGGATTTCTATCGCTCAAGTTCACTTTGAATGATTAATGAGAGAATGAAGACCAGGTAGTTCCAATCATACCCCCTATTTCACGATTATCTCGGAATCTAAGGGAGACAGTAAAATTTTTGTAAGAACCTTTTTTGTAGCCTTCAATTCGCTCTGCAAAAAACGTCTTGACGAAAATTTCGTTATCTCCCTTAGATTCGGAGATATTCTTCGAATACTCAGATGAGACCCAAGTCGACTTGAAATTCCCCATGAAAATGTACCTCGACATTATCCTAAGATCATTCCTCGTCAAGATGCATTAACAATTAACAAAAAATTCCATGCAAATGTGAAATTCTCCCTGGTTATGTTCTAATCAGCTCGACAATACGGGATTCCATGAGAAAATGAAATCTTTTTAGTCCACAAAATGTTCTATAAAAAACAAACGTTGGAAATATTACTTCAAGCACAAAATCTGAGTTAAAAAAACAAAAAATTTCCATACAAATATGGAATTCTCCCTTATTTCCTGATCATCTTGACAAGGAGTGAATTCATGAGAAAATATCAAATGTTTTTTTAGTAGTCTACAAAATTTTCTATAAAAAAGACATTCAAATTTTTCTTCAAGATCTCTCCTCTCGAGAATGAATAAACAATCAACACAAACGTTCAAAAAATGTAAAAATTTTTGTTGATTATAATGCAATTATCTCGATATTCAGTGGCTCCATGAGAAAATTACAATTTTTTTATTCTGCAAAATTTCGTACAAAAAAGTTTTGACATTTTCCGCTAAACCTATTCTTCTCGAAGATATTCTCAACAGAAACAGTAAATTTGTTATGAATTATCGAATTCTGGTCTCTTTCATCAACTCACCAATCATTCCTCCCCTGAATCCCTCATTACATCTCGTAAAAAATAGGAGTGATGTGAATCGATAAAAATTTATTCGGAAATTAATCAATCAATGGAACTGATAACTAACAATAATTGTAATAAAAATTCACACTAAGACTCACTCTCAGGGTTTCAACACACTCTACTACTAGACAATAATTCTTTACACCATACTTACTCATCCTTCCAGTATACCCTTAAACGATCTACAAATATTTCTTTACAGTTGTGAAAAAAAACACTATTTATTTCCTTATAATTTCCTTCATTAAATAAAACTGGATATGAAAAATTTATAATTGAATCAAGGAAGAATTTCATCGCGTTCAGCCAGAACACTACGTATTCAATTATTCGTAGGAAGTTCATATAAAATTGCGCCAAGCGCGTATCTATTAAAAAATTAGTATCTTGTGATTATGACCGTTGAAAAAAGCGTAAAAAGAATGACAAATATTTCCAACATTTCTCTCTTCTCTCATCCTCCTCTTCCTCGCTAAAACTGAAGAAAAATAATATTGAAGTGTAAAAAAATATCTTTGGTGCTCTTCTTGCACAGCTAGAGGGGAGTAAAATCAACGGATTACAGTTATTACCTCCGTTTTCAATGAAGAAAGGAAATTTAGGATTTGATTTAATTTAAAAGACAGCGTATCCCTAGATTAATTTTTTTATACTGCAGTACTTATCTCCTAGATTTTCTTCTCCCTGATGATCTTTTTTGTCTTCTTCCCTTCATTCTGGCGGTGTGTAACCAGGGTAATGAGAATTCACTGGAAAAGCAGACGAAGATTTACCATTTCCATGAAGCAAATAAAATTTTTTGCTTGTAATTTGATTTTATGCTCGAGAATCTTTTTACCTGGGGGTGAAACTAGGAATAGATGCTCCGAACGCTGAGACAGGTAATTGTGGATCAACTTGTAGACTCTGAATTTGGTCGACTTCAGGCCACAGAGAGGTAATCGTCTCCTCCTCAGCTGTTGAGGGACAGGGGCCAGTGTGATTCGTATTGTAACACGTGGCTTGATGATTCTGCCTCTCTTGCCTCTGCTTCAGCTTCTCAATGTGCCTTTGTTCCCTGAAGAGAAATATGGATTAATAATAAATTAATTTGTAGAAGAAAATATTGTTAGAGTTTTTCCTCTCGATATAATGGATTCAGATATTTTTGAAAAGTACGGTAGTTGAGATGAATTGGTTTATCAAGAATGACGAATAGATCTTTTTAGTAGAGAATTTCAAGAACAAGAAAGGTCTATAATATTCTATTTTAAACCGATAGTTTCAGAGATATAAGTGAGATTTGTTGTTCTTTTCTATTGATTTTACAGATTTTCAATGATTTAGTTGCAGACATGAAGAACAAATTTTTCATTCCCATCATATTTATAATTTTCTAATGGGTTTGTTCCTCCATTTCTTTTGTAAAAATCTCTGCAGTAGCTTTGGCACGAAATGCCAAAGAGTGTTTCTTGACTCTTGTCTAGATTGTTCGATCCGCTGGTTTCAGTCATTTTCGTAATATAAAAAAATCTTGAGACCAGTAGGTTAATCAAGAATTACCAATGGAAATTTTCAGTACAGAATTCCATGGACTACAAAAAAATGGCTCTTCATATTTACTTCTAAACTCGATAGTTCCAGAGATATTGGTGAAGAACAATTTACTCATTCCTATAAATTTTCTATTTTTTTAATAATTTTATTACTTCAGTTCCCTGGCAACAATTTCTCTAGTCAGTTGCGTCAGAAAAAAATCTAAAAAAAAATTTGACTCTTGAATTTACTAGCAAAATCGAAAAACATCAGAAGACACATGTCTACATCCATTGGTTTCAGAGACATTTCCAAAAAATGAAAATCTTGAGACTACTGGGATTAACAAGAATTACCAACAGACTGTTTTAATACCGAATTCCATGGACTACAAAAAAGGTCTCTTAATTTACTTCTAAACTCGATAGTTCCAGAAATATTCGTGAAGAACAATTTTCTCGTTTTCTTAATTCTCAAATTTTTTAATAACCTTGTTCCTACATTTCTCTTGCAAAAAGCTCAGTAGCTTCAACAAAAAATCTCAAAATCCCTCCCTCAGTATTCTCTCCAAAACCTTATAGTTCCCGAAAACTTTCCTCAGAAACCTTTCCCATTTCTACAATTCTTCAATAATTTTCCGTTCCCCTATCCTTGCAAGAATCTGCAACTAGTATCCCCAGTCCAAAAACCCAATGATCTTCCTGAACATTCTCCCAAACCCCCTCCCAAAAAAAACAAAACAAAAACCAACCCGTCCCCAAAGCCCAACGTTACCTTATCCTCTGTACATCCCACCGTTTCCTCCTCCTCTCATCATTCTCCAGTTTATGATGTCGTTTATTAAAGATTTCATCGTCCAAATTCTCAGTCCCCTCCATGGTATAACAGCTGGTGTAGACCTTGACCCTCCAGTTGGGGACCTCGAGATTGTCCCTCTCCTCCTCCTCCTCGCTCTTAGCAGGCTTCACACACATTCCAAAATTGGGGTCCCCCACCGCTGTGTAGTAGTGCTCCTCAGTGGTGAGGAAGCTCTCCTTCTTGACAATGGCCTTTCCCTTCTTGTCACTCTTCCTCCCTTCGACCCCCTTGCCCTCCTGCAGAGTAGACGACGAGTTGCTGATGGTCGACGAGCAAGAGAGCCCCCGTTTCCTCTTGCTGGAGCTGTTCAGCCCCGAAGGGTCGGACCTCCTCTTCTTCTTCCCCTCCCAATCGAGTCTCACCTCAGTGCCAATAATTTCTTTATCCTCCTTCAACTCCCTGTCAATGGGCTCCTGTTTAACCGTCGTTATTCCATCGCTCGTGTTCAATCTGATCTTGAAGCTCTCATTGAACTGTGGCACACTGTCCTCAGACTGGCCTCTGACAGCCTCAGGAGCCACGAGACTCACAGAATGCAAGTTTGGGGGTGAACAAGGGCCTGTGTTATCCGATGCCACTGAATTTTCAGTCGACTCTGACCTCAACTTCTGTAGGTTAACTCTTCTGTCCATACGCTCCAATCGCAACTTGAGCTGCAACAATTTTATTCCCTTGTACATTGTCACCATTTTTGGAGATTTTTTGAGTTTATCAGGATGTTGTGAACACAAATTTTGGATTATATCGGTGAAAATACAACGTTGACATGTCGCCATGAGGTTAACCATTGATAAACATCCCGCCATTTGTGTTTGAATGATAAAGGTGGAGATGGGTGTTACCGACTGAGAAAAGTTCGGGGTTCGGAGGCGGCATTCTGGGTTTTTAAATCCCATTTTGAGATTTTAGTGGTTATGTTGGGGAGAGTTTTGGGGTTTGGGGGAGGGGGCGAGGGCTTTTTTGGGGAGAATTTGGCAGACTTAAAAAAAGGCGTTTTGTGACTATTGAAAAATGTCAGATGTAGAAAATTATATTTTTACATAGTCACAAAATAACGTTTTTAAAATGTGATTTTATTATAAATTATATTTATTATAAATTATATTTGTAAATAGTTCTAAAGGGCTTGGAGAAAGCTACGATATAGAGTTTCTTGAGTTTTTATGAATCTTTTATTACATTTTCTTCATTTTATCATCTCGGAAACTAATAGTTTCGAGAAGTGTCAAGACATTTTTCATAGAAAAAAGTAAACAACTTTGATGATTTTTTTAAAAAGAAGCTATCAGTAACCGAGATATTAGTGAAATAAGTGAACAATGATATTCATTAAAAATGCAAGGCTAACATCGGGATTGTCAACCTCTCAATTTATAAGGAAATTATTCAAGTTTATTCTGTTTGCTATTATTGAAGAACTATGGTACTGAGGAAATTGAGGACCGGATTCCAAGATTTAAAGTCGAATAAAAAAACGCAGACCATCTCCTAAGTGAAGGGCTTTTCAAATGTGAAGTAACATTTTTGTACAGAATTTTCTGAGCTACAAAAAAAATCTGTTGACATTTTCTTCTAAACAAATCAATCCCAGAGATATTTTAAGAATAGCCCTTTCCATTTTATATCCACTACATTTTCTGGCGCTTCAGCGAATTCACGGATAATTCATCATTTTCGATATAAATAATAATATTTATGACAACTGTTTATTTTTTTTTTGCAAGTCTCTAAGGGCCGGTTGCACCAAGCCAAATAAATCGTCAGAATAAATTCATGTCTGGAGTAAATTTACGCCACAATTAGACAATTTTCGGAATTCGTTTCAATTTAGCCATTTGATCGGGTGAATAAATACTTAATAATTAGTGGCATTATTGGCAAATCGTGACGATAAATCGATACAAGACGTTTTTTGGTGAAATTTCTTCGATGAACTTTCGATCAAAATTGATCGGCAGATTATTTTTACTCAATCCGATACTTAACTGTGGATTTTCTTCACTGGCCTTGGTGCAACTGGGCCTAATTCGGGGGACTATTTCCCCTAGATTTTCAAACGAAAAGGCCCATAATTTCGCCCACATTTCTGAAAATAATCAAACCCCCAAGAAACATCATCTCGTTTTCCGCGGTATCACATCTTTTCAACTACGACATTTCAACTGCTTTGTTTTTTAATTACTGTAGTTTTGTTGAATTTGCTAAAATTTTTAACTTTTCATTTTCATTTATTCATTTACTTTTTTTCGTTTTTCTTTTTTTCGTATCGCCATCCGATACTATTCTCTCCTATGCAATTTTTTTGATAGATAAATTGCTCGTCTACTAATAATTTGGCTCCTCTGGAGCTCCGTATAAATGTCAGAGGCATCGTGTCACCGATTTGCTATCTCATCTCAATTCATTCGGAGAGTCCTGTATTATCATTTCAAGAGGATAATCCCCTCTCTAGTCATTTCGCCGAATCACGGCGATATGGTTTCGAATTTGTAAATAACCGAATAATCTGTTTGATAGTTGACATTTGAAGGAAATTCGGGACTGATTTACTGAGAATATCATATTTTTGTCGTGTATTTTTTAAATTCTAGTAGTTGGAATGTCGTAGTCAAAATGTAATTAGTTGAAAAAGTAATATTTGAAAAGACATGCATTCTTTTCCGCAGCCCGTCAAATTTCCCGCGCAAAACCCCCCCTAACATTTCTCCAAAACCACCAGATTTAAAGACACTGTAACATCCATACCCAAATAATGCATAAACAAACAAAGTATTTATTCAACTGAAGAAGAACATTTTATTCAACACAAGAGCTCTCAATAAATAAAAATCAAATAAATAGCAGAAAGCCGCGAATATATTCACAACCAAATAGTCAATCAAACTGAAGAAGAGATTTTCACACAGTGCTGCACAGATTGTAAACAATGTTCTGTTGTATTCAACACAAGAATCAAGATAATAACCAGAAACCCACGAATATAGGGGAGAGTGGGGTAAAATGGACACTTTTGACTTGTTTTTTAAATGTTAATGACAGGTTGAATCGTTGGTGAAAGGTTTTTTTTATTTTTCACTAAAAAGAATAATTCTTTCCCTTTGTGTTGAGCCTAAACTGATTTCAATTGATAAATCTGTCTGTGAGTTATAAATATTTATTTAAATATCAAGCGTGTCCATTTTACCCCACCCTCCCATATTCCCAATCAACCAATCAATTAACCTGAAGAAGAGATTTTCACAGAGTGCTGCACAGATTGTAAACAATGTTCTGTTGTATTCAACACAGGAACTCTCAATAAACAAAAATCAAGTAAATAACTAGAAACCTACGAATATATTCACAATAAAACAATAAAGAAATTCACTCACAATACTTCGCAACTTCTAAACAACGTCCATAATCATGGAATGGTTCTTACGAAAATGAAAAGAAAACCTCTCAATCCCTTCATTTCGACTGTTGAACGCCCCGCCAATGGTCCCAAGCCACTAAACCCTGCATTACCGACTGACTCCCCCCTCCCCCGCAGCAGTCGGCGAGTGGAACAAGTGCAGTGACCATGACATTGGCAACGATCTCCACTACCTTTCGAGACAGTCGCCAATCCTCCATCTCCCCAAAATTCCCCCGAGCCCCAGTTCCCCAAAAAAATCCTCGCACAAATTAAAAAAAAAACGACCGAATAAAAAAAACGACCTACCGTCTCATTCTCTTGTCTCAGAGCACTGAGCAACTTATCCTTGGTAACAATCTGTTCCGATTGCTGTTGAATAAGATCCAAATGAAGTAACAACAGCTCCTTGAGATGCTTCACCTCCCCAGGATCATTATTTCTCGCTTCATTACCCCTCAGTGGACTAACCCCAATAGTATTACCCGTTACAACAGTCTGTGTATTATTCTTAGTACCACTGTCGGTCATACTTGCATACATGTGATCGAAATCACAGGGAAATGTCAGTATACCAACTGGTGGTGGTTTAACGTCTTCGTTATCAATAACCTGGCATGAGCTCGTAAAATCACTGCTGTGCAAATTTTTTCTCGCATTACTGGTCGTCGACGGGGACGACAAGTGTTCGTTCATCGCCGCTACCATGTTGTAGGCGGCCGTAGCCGCTTTATTCGTTAATTTACAATTATTAATATGTGTTATTGACGACGATGACGATGACAATGACGAGAGTGATTCAGTGTAATCACAATTAATATTGTCAATTTGCACTGTTGTACCACTGTGCGATGGATTGTTATCGTCAATGTCCGTAAAATCGATGTAATCGAGTATTTCAGTATTGTTGTTATCACCGTTCACAAGTTGTGACGGCGATGTGGTTGACATTTTATCGGTTTTTTTAAAATTCTCGAAATTTTTGCATTTGTGGCCGCCACTCCGAGCGTACCACACCGGCGACGTACGTACATTCAATGTTTACTTCATTTGTTTGTTTATTTTATTTAGGGAATTTTGGGGATTTCCTCTTTGGCATTATCTTTTTGCGCTTTTTTGGGGTTTTTCTTGGGGGGTCAACTTGCGGTTGACACTTCAGTGGTAAGTCAGAGCCCTCCCTTCGCTGCCCCACCACCTCATCCCCCTCCCCAAAAACCCCCTTAAACCGCCCACTTTACCACGCCGATGAGAACAGAACAGAACTGAACAGAACACTCTGAAGGTTCACTTTTTTTGTTTTTGTTTTCGCTCCTTTTCTGCGAATGGAGATCACTGGGGGATCAACACTCGGTATTTGTCACTCGTTTGGGGGTGATTTTTAGTTTGAGGGGTTTGGGCGGTTCTTTGGGGCACTTGGTGGCGAGTTTGCGGGGGTTTATTTAGCGTGTTTTAGGGTGATTTTGGTTTGGCGACACGAGGTGTTTACTGACGGGCAGCCAGTGCGTACAGCGGCGGCCCGTGAACACGGCGTTACTCCGGGGGAGAGCCGGTGGTGACATCTAGGGGCATTGGTCGAAGATGGGAAAGGGAACGGGGGAGTTCTGCAGCGCGGGACGCGCGCAGGATTCACAGGTTTCCCGCTATTTTCGAGGGGTCACGTGAGCCGGGGATCGATGCCGTTTTTTCGAGCGGGAATTTTCGAATGTTTGGCGTGGAGGGGAGAGGGTATGGACCTATATTTGGTGAAACTAAGAATCTGGCTCTCTTGAGGACTTAAGGTACTTCCGCGGTAAGTATATTTGGTGAAAATTTCGAAATGGTATAAAGACGCAATATTTGGATCATATCCCTAGTGGAAAAACCTAAGGCAGAGGCGTAACNATCGAGACCTGAACAGAATTTCCACTCGGGTATGAGTCAATTTGAGAGTGAAATTCGTAAGTGTCCTGGTAGTTCAGATGGTAAGAGCACCCGACGCGACATTGGGAGGTCCCGGGTTCGATTCCCTGCTAGGAAGTTACTAATTTTTTCTCTCAAAAAATTAAATTTAATTACATGGAGAGATTTTTTTATTAAGTGAATGAGATTTCGAATGACGTTTGTTTTGATCCCAAAAAAAAAACACTTTTGATTGATCTTTTACATAATTCTTCTTCATTCAATGTTGTAGCTTGTGAATGAAAGGAAAATTTATATATAATAAGAATAAGAATGGATAAATTAATGGAATGTGAAGACGGAAACGGAAAGAAAATGAAATAAAATACAATAGCATAAATTAAACTACACTATTAGAAATTTCTTAAAACTGCAGTCACAATATCATGTGAATTTTCAATGTTGTGAGTTTGAATTCAATTTCAAATGAAAACGTTCACTAAATTTCTCATGTATCTTGAAAATTCAAGAAAATCTTGTTTTTCATGTCAAAAAATCATTGATTTTTTAATGGAAGTTTGAATTCCCAAAGTCATCATGAAAATTAAACATCACATACAATTCAATTTTCAATAGATTGAAAATTCAGAGAAGTTATTGTCTGAATTTTCAAAATTTTCAGAGTTTTTCAGTACCGCATGGACCTGAAAATCGAGAATTACTTGAATATTCAAGAAATGAATTGATTCGTCAATGAAAAATTCTACAGAAATTTCATGGAATTTTGTCGTTACTAAAAATTTCAAGCTTTTTCATTTGAAATTTCAAGAGTAATTGTGTAACAGTGTAACGAAGGGCGCGAAGTGCCCGTTGGCTAGTAAATGACATGATAGGATTTGTAATGTTATCAGTGTTTATCTGTCCAATCCTCACCTGCATGGTACACTGAGAGAAAAACAAACACGTTGTCAAACAAGTCTTGTTTGACCAACAAAATCGCTAGTTGAAAATTGCCGAAAAAGAATTTGTTCGGTTCAAATTTGAAAGTCTCAAACATGAATAATTGTTCTACTTTCAACAGCAACGAAATATTTGGCTCAAGAGGCGGATAATTCATACCAGATGGTGCCTTTTTAGGATGAAAATATCTCGTACAGAGGAAAATTTATCAACAAATATTTTATCCCTAATTTACAAGATTGCGATCGTATCATTATTATTGTTTAATTTAAGGGTTCATTTCTCGTCTGTGATTATTAGACAGCCGAAACGAAAAACTACTATCCCTTGTTCCGCATAAAACAAAGATTTTTCGGGAGTAAAATACGCATGGGAGTATCGAATAATGAAGGAGTAGTGCTAGAAACGACATTTCTTGCGTGTACAAAGAATGCAATTTTTTTTAACTACTAAATCTATTCTTGCGAAAAAAAAATTTCATTACGGCGCACTTTCTGCATGTTTGGCACAAAGAAATCCTTTTTTGATCATTTTCAAAAAACTACAAGTGGGTTTCTTGGCACAAGTAAGACTTGTTTGAGAACTTCGTCGTTTTTCTTTCAGTGTGCATGACTCCTAGTCATGCTAGTATTCTGTTGGCACTGAGTGGAAAAAGACAAAAAAGGAAAAAGAAAATTTTAAAAGCATAAGAAACAAAAAAGTTATTTATAAATATAAAATGTAGTTGAGAACATGTAATTCTCTCATTCCAACCAAATAGTGCATGCATTGTCACACTATAATTCATCTTATGATTTAACTTTATGGAAATATTGTGAAAATAAATTTTCATTCCGGCGCACTCTCTGGATGTTTGGCGCAAAGAAATCCTTTTTTGATAATTTTCGAAAAACAATTTTCTTGGCACAAGTAAGACGTGTTTGAGAACTTCGTCGTTTTTCTTTCTGTATTCTCCTAGTCATGCTAGTATTCTGTTGGCACTGGACGGAAAAAGACAAAAAAGGAAAAAGAAAATTTTAAAAGCAAAAGAAAAAAAAGTTATTTATAAATATAAAATGTAGTTGAGAACATGTAATTCTCTCATCCCAACCAAATAGTGAATGCATTGTCACACTATAATTCATCTTATGATTCAACTTTCTTTATGGAAATATTGTGTCCATCCATAGAGCGTGTCGATATGTGCGTGACTAACTGCAAGTTTTCGAGATTCATCGTCGTTGTCAGTTCATAAGATCGAAGGAGGTGTGCAACCATGATTTTCAGTACTATCATAGCATATCGCGGGCCCAGACAGCTCCGTGGTCCTCCGCTGAAAGGAACGTACGCGTAAGGATGACGATCCTTCGAGTTTTCCGGAGTGAAGCGCTCGGGGATGAACTTATCGGGCTCATTCCAGTATTTAGGGTCTCTGTGCACTGCGAAGGGTAGCATCATTACGGAACAATTTTTAGGAAGAGTGCAGGTGCCTAAAATATATACGAAAAATTGAAATGAAAAATTGAGAATTCCCGAAAACAATCATTATGACGAAAAATAGTAGTTACTGAGTTTTATTTCGTCGGTTGTTTTCCTGGGTAAGGCCGGTCCCACAGGGAAGAGTCTAATCGTCTCTCGAATTACCATGTCCAGGTAATTTAATTGTTTAGTTTCCGACTCAGTTATAAAATCGTTTCTCATCACATCGAGGACTTCTTTTCTTATTTTTCTCTGGAACACATTTGAGTAATAAAGAACGATTCTGTTGTGCAGTAAAACATAACAAATCATCTAGCAAGTCAAAATCAGGACAAAATCTTGAGATCTGTGTGAGGTATTGAGACCGACAAATACGTCGATTAGAATAATATTAAGAGACATTGGGTCGAAATAAGTAGATCATGGGAAAGAGGAATGATTTCTTTTTCCTGTGATCCAGACACGCTCAGCGGTCACATGGTGTCATTTAGACATCATGGTCAGCGGTCTCAGGGTGGCACCTGAGTCCAGCTTCCCCTGAAGAAGCTGTTTGACTGTATTAGTCTGTGTCAATGATGACATATGAGTGTGTTGGTCAGGGCGAATCGTGGGACCGCTTACCTTGCAGTTTTAGGTCTTGAGCGCTTTGCAAAGTCTCTGTAAGTGCAGTGTGTGAAGCTGGACGGTCATTCCAGCGCCTCCACATTTAATAACGCGTAAACCGAACCCCAAATCCCAACCCTGTAGTGTATTTTAGTAAATAGTTCATTATAGCTTTTACCAATTACACTCGGTGTTTCAATGAGAAGTACCTTCCCAAAATCCAATATCCCACAATAGACCGAAGTGAGCGAATCCCCCGTGAGCTCACCGCGGAAGCTAGCCCAGTTGAAGTGAAGACAAATAAAAAGAAAGATAAAAAGAAAACAGATCTTTTTACGTGAGTTCAACTCGGGGTTAAACTCAAAACGTCACATCGTCGTATCTACATTGGTAGAAAATTGCTATTGAAATTTCAAGTACACGCAGAAAAATGGTTTAGTTGAATTAAATAAACTTTATTTAAATCAAATAAATCGCTTATTTATTTCTCATAGAGGATTGATTCGATTGAAATAGAGTTTATTTAATTCAAATAAACGATTTTTCTGGGTTTACGAATTCTGTAGTGAAGTGGTAAACTAGGATAAGTGCAATTTTTTTGAAAAATTTTCTATTGCTTGAATCTAAAGTTCTCTTAAACGTGGTCAATTTTTTTAACTCTTCTGAACGAGTTTCGTTTATGCACCTATTCTAGTCGTGTCCTAGTTTACCAGTTCGCTACAGAATTGGAATGTGGAAGTTATATCTGAGGTTTATTTGTACAATATTGTTTTATAAAAGAATCTTCCCCAAAAAATTATCACTAGGCTATACAAAATAACTTCAAATGCAACTATTCTCTTGGTGGAGATCCTGAGAGAAAAAAAATTAACAGAATTGCTACTTTCAGGTTAATAGGCTCTTGGAAAACATTCAAAATGATGAAAATTCAGGCGGCTATCATTCTGAATTTTCAATCTAGTAGGGATTCCATTCAATAAATAAGTATGGAAGTGAGTATGAATTGAGTATTTATATAGAGCTTGAACTTGAATTTCAAGAAATTTCTAGCAGTCTCCGATACCCTCTTGACATCTCGTCCTCAAATCTCTTATTTCTGACACACGGAAACAAAAATAATATCGAATCGGGTATATAATATTCCGGAATCAGGAATATGTATATTCCGCAATCAGGAGTAATATTCTGGATTCCGGAATGATATCCCGGAATCCAATATATTATATTCCGAAATCTGGAATAGTATTCCGGAATCTGGGATATTTTATTCTCGATTCCGGAGACATCCCCAGGGGTTTGCAGATTTTTCAGAGGGTGAAGGGAGTGTCGTGAGATAATTTCCGATAACCAAATTTTGGTCGTTCAGAGTATTTGGTGTGCGGACATTTTTTTCCCGTTTGAAAATACAAAACATCGAGTTTTTCACTCTCTCAATACTGGTTTGTGTCATTTTTAGAGGTTTACCGATTTTGTTTGTTATTGGATTACGGAATATAATATACTCGATCAAGGATCAGAACAATCATCAATTTCAAAATAAATTAAATTTAGCTTCTGTTAACTGATAATATTACCCAACAATTTTCAATTACCAAATTAATCATCAATCGAATATTCAAATTCCGAAATAATCTATCAACCAGTCAGTAATCGTGTCAGAAGTTTGAGCATTACATGTCTAATTGGAAAATCCTTTTATGAAATTTATAATTATTTACTCAATAGTTAATAGAAAATTTAAATCATGAATTATTTTCATATTTTCAAATTTCAAGTAAGATAATAAAATCATTGTAATGGAAAGGTGCAAATTCAAATAATATTACAAAATATTACAGATGTACTGATTGTCGACTGATCGCTGTACTCGATTCGAGAATATTTTTTTCTCCGTGCGTGTTTGACAAGAACTTCATATCTGACTTGTTAGGTTTCACCATTCCTTACTTGAGCTTCGGGATACATGGCTATCATCAGTATGAGGAGACACGCTATGCTTTCTAGGGTCTCAAATATCTGTAAAGAGTTAAATAAATTCTCAGTCAAAAGATCGATTCCTCTTTGTAGAAATGATCGACATTAGATTCTGAACGCGTATTTCCCCACACGGAGAGAAATTTTCTAGACAAATTCTAGCAGGAGTTCTGAAAAAAATCACGATCCCTCGGTTGTGAAAAATTCTAGTGCTGTTAAGGTAAAATTTCTCAGGATTTCTGGTAAAATTTCTGGGGATTTCTGTGAAATTTTCACAGAAAAACGGGGAAAAATTCACGTTTTCTCAAATAAAATTTGCAGTGCCAGCACTGAAATTTTTCTCTGGCGGTCACTTTGCGCCTCTTTTACCGTGCTAGCACTAGAATTTTCCTAAAAAATTTCTCTCCGTGCACTTGTGCTTAAAAATTAATCACGTGTTTTGCTCAAGCTTTCCTGCGTAAGAATAAATGCGCCAAATTCCGGAGGAAAATTCAACGCATTGATTCCCATGTAACAAAGCTATGGGAAAACACCCGATGATTTTGAAGCACTTGCGATGTTACTGATGTATATAGTTAGTCAAGGAAAGTACAAACTCCAATAAAAAGCGTTATTAGTTCGTATCGTATCTCTACTGGCGTCAGCTCCTTAGTTTTCATCATGTGATCAACGAGGAAATGTAATATCGGCATGTTAATGAGATCTTCAGACTGCGCTGGTTTGTAATTGTCCATCGCTTCGGAGACATTCTGGAATGAATAAAAAAGCGTAAACTGCACTGGGAAAAAATCTAATTCTACCGATCAAATTAGTGATGCCGACGAGACTAGTTGAGAATTATTTTGAAGAGATCATCACGGTCTGGAAAAACATCAAAAGTTTTGGAATCGTCGCAATCTCGAAAGACATTGGATCGGTGCATCTCGTCACAATTTCGAGAGGATTTATCTTCCCTGGATCTCGAGATTTTCGGTTTTTTAAGTTCACGAGACGAGACGAGACAGATATCGAGATAAACATTTCAGTAGCGAGGTGGTAAACCGATATAAGTTAATTTTTACTATTGGCCAGCTTTTACTAAATATCTCGGAATCTAAGGGAGATAGCAAATTTTATAATATAACCTTTTTTGTACAGCCGATTCAGAGCTACAACAAATATAATTATGAGACTTTCGCTATCTCCCTTAGATTCGGAAATATTCCTCAAAAACTCAAGTGGGAGATAAGTCGACTTAAACCTCTTTACCACATCGCTACTGATTTGAAAAACGGAAAATACTAAAACTCAGACGTGGTGGATTCTTCCAAGTTCGTGACGAGATGCACCGATCCAATGTCTTTCGAGATTACGACGATTCCTAAACTTTCGATGTTTTTTTAGACCGTGATGATCTTTCCAAAATAATTCTCGTCTAGTCTCGACGGCATCACTAGATCAAATTTGCTTCAGACAACCAAATGCAAGAAATTTACAATTTATTTTCATGGCACAAGTAAGACTTGTTTGAGAACTTTGTCGTTTCTCTCTCAGCGTAGTTGATTGTTGATTGAACACGAATCGAGGGAGTTATCAGGATATGCCACTCATGTTACTTACATCGTCAATGTATTCATGTGCTGTCCTTATGATTTCCGAATATTCCCTTCCTTTTTTCGTCAGACGGAAAATGCAGTAGGGATATAGCCATGGTCTTGCCATACGATAAATAGTGGCGTGTAGTGCTCTGTAACGAAATGTTCATGAAGATAGGAAGATAATCTATATTTTGCAGAGAACGAGGCAAAATGGAACAGTTGATTAATCATCCATACACGGAGAGAAATTTTCCAGAAAAATTCTAGTACGAGTACTGGAATAAATCACCATCCACTGGCTGTGAAAAATTCTAGAGCTGTTAAGGTAAAATTCTTGGTATTTCTGGTCAAATTTCTGGGGATTTCTGTGAAATTTTCAGTACTAATACTACTAGTGCTTCAAAATTATCGGATATTTTCCGATAGCTTCGTTGCTTAGGAACGATTGTATCAAATTTTTCAGGTTTAAAATTGTATTATTTTATTTGAGAGTGAATTTCTGTCGTTCCCGGTAGCTTAGTCGGTAAGAGTGACCAGCGCGTATCTAGGAGACCCGGGTTCGATTCCCGGCTGGGTGAAGCGGAAAATTTTTTCTCTCTAAATTCTAATTCTCTAAGAATTTTTTATTTTTATTTTTTGGAGATTTTTCTGGAAAATTTGACACACTCGTTCCTAGGCAGGGAAGCTTGAGGAAAATATTCGATTAATTTTGAAGCATGAGTGGTATTTGACGGATTATTTTTGCACTCGGATTTCGGCCAAACAGAGTGCAGTGAACAGCATCCGGATGCATTTACACAGCCATACATTTACAACCCACTTTTTTGTTTATTTGTCACACAGAATATTAAACGTGAAATGCGTTGAAAGATGAGAAACATTTGAAAAGCTACTAGTGAATTTCCGTCGGAAATTTTTTAGAAATTTCCGAAATAAAACTGTTTGACAGCCTCAAATACTGCGCTCTGATTGGCTGAAACCCGAGTGAGAAAAATAATCATAGAAATATGGGGAAAAATTCACGTTTTCCTGGCCGTCACTTTGCGCCTCTTTGCCCATTCTAGCACTAGAATTTTTCTAAAAAATTTCTCTCCGTGTATCTCCGGAATAATGATGCGAATGAGTTCAAAACTATTTCATCGGCAAGTATGGGGGATTGTCCAAAAGACGATACAGTAGTTAAACCCTACTAGACAATTTCCGGTTTATGGATGATAGAAGAGCGTTCATTTGTGATTTACGTTTGGGTCTCCGTCAAGAAGGGCAATACTTCTCCGTTCTCCAAAATCGCTGGACGTCCCACCAATGTTTCTGAAAAGAAGTTACACCTCAGTCCACACGCAATACCCCCTTCCCGTGTGCACTCCTAGTGCGGTAAGGTTTTGAGGTGTTTTCTTATGTTTTCGGGTATGAGAAGTCCGAATCCGGTGGTATTTTTTATGTAAGTGCGTGCAATTAATAGTTATAAACAAATTAAGTGGTTTTTTTGATGATTTTTTTTTTATGGGAAACATTGGCAAATAGAAGAAAATGTTCATGACAAAAGTTGTTCCTTTTTGTGTAATAAATAATTATCATTTTTTTAAATCAAAATCCATCAATCCGTTGCTGAAATATGGTCCACCAGGTGGGCGCGGGAGGATGCGCGACGCGCGAAGATGGGTGGGACGCTCGACGTCCTCTGAATGCTCATCAATCCGTCATTTTTCTCAGATAAAACGACTTCTACTCATGTATTGGTACATAGAAAGGAAAACAAAAACACACAAAACACTAATACTCCAAGTATGAGAGATATTTATTTGGATTATTTCTGCGAATTTTCAATTCCAAGAAAATTCGGAGGGGACAGCTGCAAAAATATTCTTGTTTCTTCTTGTTTTAGTCAACTGACGTTTAGAAAATACTCCGATAAATCAGTCTTCCTCCGATCTTCGTAAGAGAATGTTCGTCACATTTAAATACGTGATTTTTTTCAGAGTTTCTTCGGGCCGGAGTAGTGAATTAACTAATTAACTATTAAGTTCTATCAGTCGGTGACAGGAAATTTATAATCATAAGTTATTGACGAGAAATAAATTCTGGATGACATTCATTCTTTGTGCAGTATTCACTTTAAATTCATGGTGTGAGTGTATTAAAAATGTCATTATTTATTACACAAAAAGGAACAACTTTTGTCATGAACATTTTCTTCTATTTTCCAATGTTTCCCATAAAAAAAAAATCATCAAAAACAACCACTTAATTTGTTTATAACTATTAATTGCACGCACTTACATAAAAAATACCACCGGATTCGGATTTCTCATACCCGAAAACATAAGAAAACACCTCAAAACCTTACCGCACTACAAGTGCACACGGGAAGGGGGTATTGCGTGTGGACTATCAAGCATGGAAAAAAGCAATAGAAAAATCCTAGTGTACTTTTCATTTTTTGCTTCCGAATGGAAGCATTGTATTCGTTAAATCCGAAATTTACTATTTTTTGTGTCAGGATCACCAATTTTGGCCTCAGGAGTTCGAACATGATATTTTTAGGCCATGTCCGGAGGTATGTACGTATGTACAGTCGAACACTAAAGTTCGTGAACGGAATACATGCACGGAGAGAACAAAATCAATAAAAATTACCGGAAAAAAAACGTAAAAATTACGTTCCGAGACGTAATCCGCGAGCGAAGTAAAATTCAATAAAAAGTGTGAGTCGAAACTGAAATTGTAGAAAGCGCCACGTAAATTCTACGATTTGTTTCGTGCCAACAAGTCGTTCCGTAATTTTTCCCCAACGATTGAGAAATTTTACGGAACGAAACGTAGAAATAACTCACCAGCTTAATAAAAATTCTTGAACGTTCAAGAATTTTTGATTTTGTTGGCATAATAAGTCGGCAAGTTTCTGTAAGATTTTACTTCTTCGGGAAAAATTACGTGACAATTTCGTACTTTGTTCGGTGATAAACCTGAAAATTCACTGAACGTTTCAGATTTCTTCTCTTCCATTGCTATAAAAATTGCCGGAAAACGATTCCCCTTTGCGGATTACGTGAATTGTTCCGTAATTTTTACTGATTATTTCTCACCGTGTGGGATACAAGTTCAGGTTGTTCACGAAATTTAGTGCTCGAATGTATGTGTATGTGTGCATGTGCGCGCATGCGACTGATTGTTTTTCGACGATATTTGGTGTTGAAAAAATTTATTTTGAAGCCAATATTCGAGGAAAGGCAAAAAACTTTAAGATTGGGGCAATATTGACTGCTAACGTTGGGATAATGTTGGGGCAATGTGGGCAGTCAACATTAGGACAATATTGAATTCAATAAATTATTGAATTCAATTTAAAATACTTCGTCGTTTGCTTCTTGCTGTCGATTTCTATACATAAATCGACGTTTCTGAATTTTATTTTTCAATAAAAAAATGTCTATGGATTTTGATTCTTCTAAAATGCCTATTCTGCAGAGATTTTTTCAATTGTAATACCTCGAGGTCTTCAAAATTATTCGTTAAAATTATTAGTTTTCAAGTTAAAAACTGACATCTTCGGCGCGAATGTTAATAAACAAAACTAGTATAATTCCGTAGCGAATGAGTTCTGTCATTCCAGAAAGAAGTTATTTGAATGAAATGAAATTCATTTGAATAAAAAAAGTGCCTCATACGATTCCAACAATCTTCACTCAATTTACATAAGCTGCACTCATACATTGAGGACATTGTTCACAAATGATGAGTTACTAACCGAGAGTAATATCGCCAATAGAAGCAGTGATGTAATCAATAACATCAAATTCTCCCGCACCCACTTTCTCCTCAAGTCGTTTGACGAGTGCCTGAGACTTCAAATTGAATAATTTTGTGAATCTATCCATGACTAGACCGCCATTGACCATGGGTTGTATCAATTTTTTGTGAGCTCTGTAGATGGGGCCTTACAAATGATTATCCATTAATCGAGTGCAAAAAATACTGCATCAAAGTAGTCAAGAACATTTCCCATTGAAGGTTTCTGTGCTCAAATATTCACCATTTGCATTTATGAGGCCATCTATTACACCAGGCTGCATTAATTTGTAGACATCATCCTTGTGAGCAGCTTTCGATGACGATATAATAATCTAGAAAAAAAAGGTCATTTTTCACGTAAGCGTATGTTTCACATTCGACGCTTGTGACCCTTAGTTTTTAACGTTTCGTTTCTGACCCTTAATTTTGGAGTCGTAATTTCGAGTATCAAATTTTGTTCACCAGAAGTCGATTTGGATTTTTGTAATATAGAGCAGGGATAGCCAAATTTGTAATATTTTATTACGGTTAAATATTGTAGCCATCAATTAGATAACATCACTCTTGAAATTTTTTGAGTACTGAAATATCATCAATTCAAATATTCAAATTTTCAACTATTTTATCAACCAATACTCGAGGTAGGAAGATTTATGATTACTTGTGTAGTCGAAAATCCCCTTTCAATAAATTTGAATTATTCCTTTAGTAGTAAATTTACAGTCTCATATCAACAAATTTTAAATATATCATTATTCGTAAAAAATCAGATTATTAATATTATGTTATTTGGAAAACTGAATCAACATATTTTGAACCTTCAATAATGTAAGGGTCAAATCCTTGTAATATTACAGAAATTTAATATTGGTGGGGATCCCTGATATAGAGAGATACAGATTACTTTTTTCCAAAGTATATCTGAGGTATACGGTATATGGTACATACAATTAGCGGGATATATATTTATAGTTTACCATACACTGGGAAAAATTCTTGTGTAAATTTTCGGTGCCAAATTCCGAAAATTCTTGTGTTCAAGTTCCACTAAAATTTCAGGAAATCTTGTCATTGGAAGATCAAATATTTCATTGCTTTTCTGTTCAAATGATCCGGAAATCAATAGAATACTTGATTTTTCAGTTCAATTATTCTGTGAAAATTCCAAAAAATTCAGGGAAAAATTGAAAATTTATGTCATTTTGTTTCTGAATATTCTTGTTCCACTGAAAATTCATGAATTTCCGTGAATTCTACTTAAAACTTGAAATTTCTTAACCATTTTTTCCCTAAATCCGATTCAATGTCACTCTCATGACATTTCCTGTAATATCTTCCGTGAAATTTCCAGAAATTTCGAACAGAGTACCCGTGGGGGGTTATTTGAGAAAAAATCAATCAATCTGATGCATAAAATCAATATTCAAAAAATGCACGAACGAAAAAATTTAATAGAAAACCCTATCGAATTCGTTAGAAAATTCTATTGAATTTCTATTGAACTATTCTATTAGGTTTTGGCCAATTCTATTGAAATGTTCAATAGAAAATATTCAGTAGAAAAAGTCAATAGAATTCAATTTTTCTATATAACTTATTCTATTGAGATATTTTCTATAGAATTTCCTCGGCTCAAATTTTCTAAGTTTGTTCGTTTGATTTTCTTAATGAGAGGAGAAGAAAAATAGAGTGAAAATAACTTAGAAAATTTGAGTCGAGCAAATTCTATAGAAAATATATGAAAAGAATAAGTTATATAGAAAAATCGAATTCTGTTGACTTTATCTATTGAACATGTCAATAGAATCAGCCAAAAACTAATAGAAAGTTTAATAGAAATTCAATAGAATTTTCTAACGAATTCGATAGGTTTTTCTATTAAAGTTTTTCGTGCGTGTGTTCAAGTGCATACTTAAATAGTCATTTAAAAATTGAAAAAATTTCGTGCTCAGCGATTGATCGGAGCTCGAGAACAATAAAACTCTCCTTCCGTTTCACCCCCGGTGATCTACACACTTATTACCATAAACCGCACGTACCTGTATGTCATGAGGATCAGGAACTACAACTTTCAGTAGAGGTCCGAGCCAAAATCGAAATGTCACTCCATCCATTTCCCGACTCATTTTAGACAGAGTGAGAATAGCTTCTGAAATTGTCAATGATTAACACTCAACATTACGTGACTATTCACCCTAAAAAATCTGAATTAGCAAAATCGAATAACTTTCGGTGTCCCTAATTGCGAAAGCATTTCCGAGCAGTGGCAGCATCGGAGGGCCCGGCAGGGTCGCAGCAAGCTCAATGAGCTTGCTTCTGTCATCTAGAAACTGCTGAATATGCTCTCGATACTGGAATAATCCTTTTACAATAGTTAGGATCACGAGAAAGAAACCTAGAGAGAAGAGTTTTTATATTGCCCACACGGAGAGAAATATTCAATAAAAATTACGTATCTTCTCCGTAATCCCGGAGCGAAATGTGGTTGTAGGAAATTTTACGGAACTGTCACGGAATTTTTCCAGAGCATTCCGTAATTTTTATCTGAATCTCCTGTGAAAAATTGTGATAGCGTCACTTAAATTTTCTGAGTCGATTCCGTAATAATCGATGAGCGAATTGTGAGTTCCGTAATTTTTACTGAACATTTCTCTCCGTGCAGTACAAAATCAACTGAATAATTTTCCAATATGTAGATACCTAGTGTTAGAGAGGTAGCAGTGACCTGCGTTAGAGAAAGCGAAGCCAGCCAGGTCATTTTCGAGAATGGCAAGATGGGTAGTTTTCTGTAGTGCGATAATCAGCTGTCGACTTGAGACTAAACTACTCGATCGAGATGAGATACCAGTGTCATTCGTTATTGCAGCTACTTTTTCTTCTTCTACGGCTTGTAATCAATGGAGCACTGAGTGATGCAGCCATGAGAGGCTCTAATGAAAAAAAGTGATTTGAAATGACTGACCTTAGTCTCTGCTACTGAGGAGAGATATTCATTTATCATAATGTAAATGAGAATATAATTCTGCTAGTATGTCTTCTTCCACGAGTCAATAATTGGAGTAATTACATGCTAGAGGAATTATCATAGAATTGGAACAGAAATAACATTGTATATTTTCAATGCGTTATTTCTACGCTTTTACTGAACTCCTCGTAGATACACGGAGAGAAATATTCAAGACNAGAACATGAAAATTCTTGGATGTTTAAGAATTTTTACGAAAAGTTCCGGAAAAATTACGGAACGTGTTGTTAAAATCTCCCCCTCACGGTGACTCATGGCTAGCCGTGAGGCGTCGGACGGATGAGTAATTTTTACGGAACAGATCGTAGAATTTACGTGACGATCGACACTTTTTATTGAATTTTGACTTCGCTCCCAGATTACGTTTCAAAACGTAATTTTTACGTCTTTTTTCTGGTAATTTTTATTACATATTTCTCTCCGTATAGTTGCGCATAGTTCCGTATAGTTACGGAGAAAATATTCCTAAAAAATTACTATACTGGAATGAGGAATTATTTAGTCACGTTTTCATAAAATTTGTGGTCCTTTTTTGATAAGATTAGCAATTGACAATAGAAACAAGTTGATCCCAGCAAACAGTATGTCGACAATTTGTCGACAAATTGCCGATGTCGAAGTTTCTGGAAACTCCTTGAATTTCTTCGAAATTTCAAGAAACTTCTCGAATTACTTCGAAATCTCTAGAATTTTCTAGAATTCCGATAGATGGCGCTGCACATAAAGGCCGTTTCCCAAAATAACCCCCCATATTGAAACCGTAGACGTATTCACGTCAAAATTGGTCTGAATCAAACCGAAAAATCGATTTGAGTCAGACTGATATTCCGGTTTGCACCTGTCCCAGTTTGACTTGATTCATGTCGTCAGTTAGACATGAAACAAGTCGATTCCCGGCATGATGCAGTCCGACTTGAGTCAGACCGTCTTTGTGGTCTGATTCAGACCGACTTTTTCGGGTGTAATGCCAGATATTTAGCTCTTGAAAATGGTCAAGCCACACTGAGAGAAAAATATGATTCTTCTGACTATATTCCGTCACCATCGAACTATAGTCAAAAAGTCCTCAACAATTTTCTATGGGTTACGGTAACTATGGCCGGAGAAGTGATTACTACAATGAAATGTAGTCATTGCTACTATTTTATAGTTCTACTCACGATAGATTTGTCGTGGTTACTTTTGAACTTTGGTTAGTTTAACTGCATTTTGATTTGCAAAAATTACGCTTGTGAAGTTACTATAATGTTATGTGCCGCATACAAAAAAAAATCGTATCTTTCACCAAAACTGCCTCAACTATTTTCTTCTTGTAAATCGAACTTCAGATTTTTCTCTCAGTGCACGAGTTTCTTTATATAAGTAAAGATGCACTTCTCAAAAAACTTGGTTTTTCAGTCTCATAATTTCCACCTCTCAAATTTCAGAATGAACAGTCCAAAAGGAGATCTAAACCCACGCATATCGATTGCAAAATTATATTTTCATTTCCAGCTTACAAACAGTACTTATAATCCACATAATGAATATCAATACTTTCGACAAGCACATGCGGAAGAAAGATTACCGATACGGTAACCGTCGGATCACTTTTCCATTTGACTCGTAAGAGCGCTTTGTTCATCCTTCCCATTTGCCTCTCATAATTATTTGATCCTCATAATCGTTATTCTCCACTTTTTCGTTTGATCCTCATATCCGTTTCTTCTGGTTGATTCCTAAGATCGTTTCGTTCTAGCAACAAGATGATTACCGCATTAGTAATCTTTTTTTCTTTGTAATTCGATCATCACAAGACAATGTGAAATATTGTGACCTTTCGAAAGAGGGAGAGTCTTTTTAAAATACAAAATTTTCGTCCAAACGAGGCCATACAACAAAACATCACATCATTTATAATCTCACGATTTAATTTTTTCGATATATATCTTATGCCCATCAATACAACGTGTTGATACGTGTGTGAATAACCGCAAGTTCTCAAGTTTCATCGTCGTTGTTAATTCATAAGATCGGAGAAGGTGTGAGACCATGACTTTTAGTAGTACCATGGCATACCGGGGCCCCACACAACTCCTTGGACCCCCGCTGAAAGGAACGTATGCGAAAGGATGACGATCCTTCGAGTTTTCTGGAGTGAAACGTTCGGGGATGAACTTGTCCGGTTCATTCCAGTGTTTTGGGTCTCTGTGCGCTGCGAAGGGTAGCATCATTATGGAACAATTTTTAGGCAGCGTGCAGGTACCTGGGAAGAACATTGAAGTGAGTTGAGAATTTTCTGTAGTGACCTTCACTTTTCCTCATTCGGGGATTGGCATTGGCCCTCGCCCAAACTCGTAAAAGTGAAAATCACTGCGGAAGAATATCGTTCACGACTAGTGCCATGGGGTTTTTTTAATCGCGTGGTTGGCCAGCCCTCGCCTTCGGCTCGGATGCCAACTCCACACGAGTAAAAAACCCCAGGGCGCTCGCCTTGAAATATAGGATTCCTAGAACGACTTTTATGGACGAATCGAGGGGCTGATCACTCCGCAATCGCGTGACTCAGTGATTCCCAGAATCAGATGATTTCCTGTTGATTTCTATGATTTCTCAAATGATTTTTGTGATTTCTCGATCAGCATTAGAAATCATGATTTCTTTTGATTTTTTGTGATTTCCATGATTTCTCGTAGATTTCAAAGATTTCTTGATTTTAAGAAATCAATGGGGAAATCATGATTTCGGGACCAGAGTGGGGAATCTGTCGATCATTCTAGTTCTCTACATGACGTTACAATACGTAAGGATGTCAAAAACTTCTTAGCGTCACATTTCGGGATTGGATGATTTCGAACGCATCGATACTATAACAAAAATTGCCGACTTGAAATTGCAAAATCAATTTCTATTTTACACTTATCGATGATTTCTAATGATTCCGGAAATCACCTGATTTCTTTATGATTTCTATTGATTCCCGATGATTTCCAGAAATCTTTAGAAATCGCTACTGAAAATGGCAATCACTTGATTTCCAGTGATTTCCATTGATTTCAGGTGATTTCTTCCTTGATGTCCAGTCGAGTGGTCCAGTGATTTCCCAAGTGACCAGCCCCTCGGGACGAATAATAGTAATTACTGAGTTTGATCTCGGCGGTGGTTTTCCGGGGTAAAATCGGCCCCACAGGGAAGAGTCTGATCGTCTCTCGAATTACCATATCGACGTAATGTAATTGTTTTGTTTCCGCTTCATTCATAGTCTCGTTTTTCATCACAGTGAGCACTTCTTGTCTCGATTTTTTCTGGAAAAAATTGATCATAGTTTTAGGAAGATAGATTTCAAAAGATAGAATTTAGCTGGAAATTAAAACGTAACTGGACTATTTTGAAATCACTCTTAAACGTTTAAGTAAACAAATTTCAAATTTTCAAATTTTTAGCAATGAAAAATTTATATTTAATTTTCATGTATTTTGTTACTGAAAAATCAGTTGATTTCTTGAAGTTTGAATAGAATGACCATTTGCAACAATCAAAATGATTAAAGATTATTAAAATTTCGGCAACAAATGGACTAATTTTTTTCAATTCATAATCTGAAAATTAACTTTATTGCTGAATTGTCATAATGAAGTCGGAAAATCAAGCTGTCATGATGGCTCAACATGAACAGCTGAAATTTTAAAGATGAATGAGAAATTTGATGAACGATGTGATCTTGAATTGAATTCACATTTACAATAACGAGAATTCCGATGCAGCTATTACCGACATTCCGAAAAAATTCCAACAGTGCATGTTCATATTCATGTAACTTTCGGCTAGAAGAGGTCAATGTAATGACTCCCCAAATGGAAAGTAGAAATTTTATACGATGTCTTCACGCTTTGTCAACGCTTTCTCTTGAACAACTGATGCGATGTGAATTGTTATTAATAATGGATTACGCCTACGTCACCAACCCCTACTAATCGCGAGCGGAGCCAGAATAAGTACATAACAAAGAAGAATGTCACATTCGACTCATTACTTTTTGCAATTTTACTACGGAATAGCACACGGAGAGAAATTTTTTAGAAAAATTCCAGTACTAGCACGGGAAAAGAGGCGCAAAGTGACGGCCAGAAAAAAATTCCAGTGCCGGCACTAGAAATTTTATTGGGGAAAACGTGTATTTTTCCCCGTATTTTTGTGGAAATTTCACAGAAATCCCCAGAAATTTTACCCTAACAGCACCAGAATTTTTCACAGCCGGTGGATTGTGATTGTTTCCAGTCCTCGTACTAGAATTTGTCTAGACAATTTCTCTCCGTGCAGTTATCATTTTTTCATACTTGAACTTCGGGATGCATAGCTATCATCAAGACCGTAAGACACGCTACGCCTTCTAAAGTCTCGAATATCTGAAAAACAACATACATTATTTCCAATGATTAATGATCGATTATTCAAATGATTAGAGCTATGCAAGGATAGTACGAACTCCAAGGAAAAGATTGATCAACTGGTATCGAATTTCCGCCGGCGTGAGCTCCTTAGTTTTCATCATGTGATCAACGAGAAAATGTAATGTAGGCAGATTAACGAGATCTTCTGCCTTCGCAGGTTTGTAGTTCTTCATTGCCTCAGAAATATACTGAAAGAAATGAAAAATTGTAAAATTTATGACACATGAGGTCTTATTGCCCGCAGAAAAATGGTTTATTTAAATTAAACAAACTTCATTTGATTCAAATAAATCGTTTATTTGATTTAAATTAAGTTTACTTAATTCAAATAAGCCATTTTTCTAGGCGTACGTACAGTGTCCATAAATTCGTGAGCTCTTTTTATTATTTCTTCGTACTCTCTTCCTAGTTTAGTAAGACGGAAAATGGAGTAGGGATAGAGCCATGGTCTCGCCATTCGATGAGTAGTAGCATGTAAAGCTCTGTAACAAAATGTTCATCCAACGAGAAAGCATGTTTAATTTTTCACAATCGACACAACAGATTTAGATTTGTTGAAAGTAAAAAAATAACCCATTTTGCCCCCCTTTGCTTAGGTGATTATTTTCTCGGGTAATGTGAAGGAGGGAGTCCACAATTCAAAGTTATGGCTTTTGCTCGTATAGTTTTAAATTACACGGAGAGAAATATTCAAGAAAAATTACGGAACATTTCACGTAATCCGCAAGCGAGAATCGTTTTCAGTGAATTTCTATAGGAATATAAGAGAATAAATCTGAAACGTTCAGTAAATTTTCGGGTCTGTCACCGCGGGAAAAGTGTTCTTAGACTCGTGGGATTATATCACTCGCCTTCGGCTCGTGCTTTAAACCTCTCACGAGCCCAAAAACACTTTCCCGCAATCGTATCGAAATAGTTATTTTCATCACAAGGTCCACAAAGTATTTTCTGACGAATGTTGCTTTATTGGCCGATCCGAAGGCGAAGCCTATAATCACATTCGTCAGAAAATACTTTCTGGACCTTGTGACGAATGCAATTTTTCGTCAGAAGGCCCGTAAACCGCGAACCGCGATTTACCGGGCCTTGCGACGAAATATTCGTGACTATAGTCCTATAGGATACCTTGAGCGCTCCGCGCGCTATAAATATACCCATTGGACCTTACAGTCTTTTTGTTATATAAAGAATACCTTCATTCCTCATGAATGCATGAAATACATTGTAGATCCCTGTTGTTGTGATGGATAAATTATTGAAATTATTAAAATTCATTGGCAGATTTCCAATTTTCAATTCAAGGTCCGGATGTACTATCTTTCGAATGTTATCTGCATTTTTTTTAACTTTCGTAATCCAAAATTGTCAATTGAGTAGAAATCATGTAGAAATTCCCAAAAATTGTCATAGAATGATAAAAAACATAGAAAAAATTCTGAACTTTTTCAAAGAGCGTTTTTAATTGAGATTTAGAATGAGTTGAAAGAAGTGAAAATTACAAATATCTGATTCGCTGTGGCAAATTCTCTATTAGCTGTCATTTTTCACGGTGAATAACAAAACACTAACTCCTCATGGGAAGTGACAGCTAGGTATCTCAATTTTCAAAACAGTGGTATGTAGTCATCTGCCATTTTTATGTGATAAAAGTGTGATTAAAAAATTCTCCAAAATATTACAACTTTTTTCAAAGAGCCTTTTCCGTAATAAATGTCTCTGTGCAGTGTGGGAAAAGATTTACGAAATCAGTCATCCCCCTGCATGATATGGGGTGACAGGCCGCCATTTGTCATCGTAAATCAGATACATTTTTCAATTTCGTGTTATTCAACTTATTCTGAATATAAATGAAAAATGCTCTTTGAAAAAATTAAGAATTTTTTCTACTTTTTTTTTATTAGGGGAGGTTGGGGTAAAATGGACACTTTTGACTTTTTTTTAAATATTAGTGACGGGTTGAAATGTTGATGAAATTCAATCTTTTTTTTTCAATACAAAGAGCAATTCTTGCCCTTTGTGATGAGCCTTAAATGAGCTCTATTGATGCATTTGTTTCTGAGTTATGAATAATTTTAAAAAAGTTTAAAGTGTCCATTTTACCCTACCCTCCCCTATTCATTCATAATTTTTCAAAATTTCTGCATGATGCAGGACTTAATTGACATTTGCAGATGACGAAAGATGAAAAAAAAACATCGAGATAACGTTCGAAAGATAGCACACCCGGGCCTTAAATGGAGTGTGATTTACACTACTTTTTTGTTAGTGTTGTTCAGAATACTTTTGTTTTTTAACATTTGAAAATCCAAAGGGATAGCTATACTTTCAGCTGTATACATAATTATAGGTATCTATAACTACAGTCAAGGTTTCATATAAGATACCTACGGCTTGGATTATTTTTCAACGGGAAAAGAGTGATTATAAGGATCAAACGGAGTTAAGGGTCAAACGGGAGGGTCGAACGAAGTGATCATAAGGGTCAAATGACCTTAAAGTTCAAAAGTTCAAATGTGAGGGTCAAGTGACGTAATCAGAAGGGTTAAACGCTCCCGAGGGTCACCCCTTTTCTTCGACGCTATAACTATTAAAATGATGACGCAGAATTGTCTTAATAGAATAAAGACTACACGGAAAGAAATGTTCAGTAAAAATTACGGAACTCACAGTTCGCTCATCGATTACGGAATCGACTCAGAAAATTTAAGTGACGGTATCGTAATTTTTCACAGGAGATTCAGATAAAAATGACAGAACGCTCGGGAAAAATTCCGTGACAATTCCCTACAAGCACAATTCGCTCCGGAATTACGGAAAAGATACGTAATTTTTATTGAATATTTCTCTCTGTGTAATTGAAATTCAATTAATTTACGTACTTTCAAAAATTGGTACTTCCGCAGTCCAGAAGTGTTTATTCTTCAGTTCCCCACAATCCCTCAACATCAGCTGCGATTCTATCACGCGGGGTGATACGCATTCAAAACATTAAACTCGTATAAATAGATTAGCTATTAATGTCCATTCAGTAAAACTGAATATTCCATGGAATTATGGCGCAACGAGCAAGGTATCTTATTTCAAACGGCTGATCCCTATTTTTCTCCTCTCTATTAGCGCGCGTAGTGGGGGTATACGAATTTCCGGAATTCCGCTCTCCTACTGTCCCTAAGGTATCTTATATAAAGCATTGACTGTTTAGTTATGGCCGTAGTAATACCTATGAATAGAGTCAAATTATAGCTGAATAGATCGGGGACAAAAAACACTACACGGATTTTTTCAAAAGGAAAAATTTGTAACTCACGTTTGGGTTTCTTTGAGAAATGGAGTCACTTCTCCGTTATCTAGGAGTGCCGAACGTCCAAGTAATGTTTCTATAAAAAACAATAGACAAACATTAGAAAAAGTATTTGAAATCAATGATAAACTCCTCACCAAAGGTGATATCGCCAATGCAGAAGGGAAGGTAATCAAGAGCATCGAATTCTCCCGCACCGACTTTCGCCTCGAGTTGTTTGACGAGTGCCTGAGACTTCAGATTGAATAATTTTGTGAATCTATCTATCACCAGACTACCGTTGAGCATGGGTTGTATCAATTTTTTGTGAGCTTTGTAAATAGCACCTGAAGAATCGATTATTGATTAATTGCGAGCGAAGAATACTGTGTCGAGGTGACTGATAGTTTTTGTCGATGAAGGATTTTATTCTTCAATGATTACCATTAGCATTTATGAGAGCGCCAACTATACCAGGCTCCATCAACTTGTAGATATCATCCTTATTAGCGGCTTTTGAGGATGTAATAAGAATCTAACGAGAAAACATGAGACGGATTTCAGTAGAAAATCGTTTCGAGTCGAACGCTCATGTTCTGATTATATCTATTCATGAAAAAAGACTATAGAGAGATGTTCAAATTAGTTTTTCAATTTGTCACGAATACAAATATAGTATAATATCTCATTTAATAATGATTACACGAGAATATTATGCGAATCATAAACTCAGACACCTTAATTCAGTAGCGAAGTGGTAAAACGGTACAAGTCAATTTTAACTATCGGCTAGTTTCAAAGAAATATCCCGGAACCTAAGGGAGATATCAAAATTGTCGTTACAACCTTTTTTCTAGAGCCGATTGAGAGTTACAACAAATGTAATTACGAAAATTTCGCTATGTGTCTTAGATTCGGAAATATTCTTCAAAAACTCAACTGGGAGATAAGTCGACTGGAACCGTTCTACCACTTCGCTATTGAATTGTATTTATGTGGAGAAAATTATTTGGTGAATTTCAACTAGTCATAGAAATTTAACAACAAATTGTAGACTATTGCGAAACCATCTTCTAGGGGAGAAATTAATCGATTATTAAGATATAAATGATTGCGGGATTATTTCCCGATTGATTGAAAGAAAAACTTATAATCAAATAATCAAATAAGGGGTCTACTCTTGCAGGCAAAATTGATTGAATTTATTAAATTAGAGGTTCAGCTAATTGCTTTTTATAGCTGACCAATGTGTTATAGATGACCAACAATTTAAGCGGAAACTTCCCGTAATCCATCGGAAAAAATGACGAACGTTTATCGAAAATCTAACAAATTGTTGTCGAATGAAATTGAAAAATTGTTTCTGAATTTTAATTAAATGGTAGTTAAATTTCATCAACTAGTTGGTGAATTTGAAAAACTAGTTCCTGACATTTACTAAATTATATTTTCCGTGTATCCTATAAACGTTAATTGGTATGTTCATGATCAAGTGCTATATGAATACAGAATTTCTGTCAATTTTTAATAGTTTTAACACCATTCGTTTGCCATGATAGCTCAAATTTTCAGAAATGTATCGTGCGAACAAATAAGTGGATTTGAATAGGGGAGGGTAGGGTAAAACGGACCGGGAGGGCAAAGCGGGCCCCTAGGGCAAAACGGACCACTGCCAGAAAATTGTTAATTTTAATTTTTTTTCTTTCCTTCAAATCAGGAACATTGAATGTGTTGAATTAAAAGTGATTTTCTTGGATCGTAACCGTCACAGGGGTTTTATAGACAACAGGTGTTGTTGAACCGCGATTTGATCAGATTTGCTAATCATCTCAAACCACAAATGACTTCGAATTAGCTCCATTCGGAATCAAAAACAAAAATTTTCAATTTTCTGTCAGTGGTCCGTTTTGCCCTAGCGGTCCGTTTTGCCCGTCTGAACCGTTTTGCTCTACCCTCCCCTGCATTGAAAATGATTCCTTCAGTTTTTTCAAATCTTTTGCGTATAAAAATACTCAAAAATTGCAGAAGGATTTAATAACACATTTTTCTATTTCTTTCCTTTTAAAATTCAATCTTCTGGAAAGGGCCAATCGAAAATCGAGTCTGGGCACCAACCTGTATATCCTGAGGATCAGGAACCACAACTTTTAGGAGAGGTCCCACCCAAAACCTAAACGTCACTCCATTCATTTCCCGACTAATTTTAGACAGAGTAAAAATGGCCCCTGAAATCACACCAAAACAATCAATAATTCCACTAATACATTCATCCTGATTGAATCCTTGATTAGCAAATCGAAATTACTGTCGCCGTCCCTGATGGCGAAGGCATTTCCGATGAGCGGTAGTGTCGGTGGACCCGGAAGTGTCTCCGCGAGCTTCAGAAATGTCCCTCTGTCTTCGAAAAACTGCCGAATATGCTCTCGATATGGGAACAATCCCTTCAAAATCGTGAGGATGACAAGAATAAAACCTGGGAAGACCCATACACTGTTAGAAAATTACCCTTGAAATTTCAAGTAAAAAAATTTTGAAATTTTTAACAACAAATAATTTACATGGAATTTCCATTGATCTTATTATTGATAAATCAGTCAATCTTCTTGAATATTGAGTGAAATTTGATTTTTCAATAATTTTTCAGTAATGAAAATTACTGAAAATGATGAAAACTCAGGCAACTTTTCTTCTCACTTTTCAATCTGTTGCTTAATTTTCGCGATAGGTTTAAAAATTCAAATGGTCATTGAAAATTCAATGATTATTCATAATGAAAAACTTAATTTTATTGAATTTCCAAGATGAATCAGGGATTCCACGAGCAATTGAGTCTGAAATTGAATTCAAGTTCAGAATATTGAAATCTCGAATGCATCTGTTGCTTAAATTTCAAAAAAATTCCAACAGTCTACTTTTTCATGAAAACACAACCAGGGATCCCCATCAAAATTAAATTTCTGTAATATTACAAGGATGTGACTCTTACATTAATGAAGGTTCAAAATATGTTGATTCAATTTTTCAAGTAATATAATATTAGTAATCTGATTTTTTACGAATAATGATGTATTTAAAATTTATTAATATGAAACTGTAAATTTACTACTAAATGAATAATTCAAATTTCTTGAAAGGGGATTTTCGATTATACAAATAATCATCATCTTCCTACCTCGATTATTCATTGACAAAATAGTTAAAAATTTCAATATTTGAATTGATGATATTTAAGTACTCAAAAAATTTCAAGAGTGATGTCATCTAATTGATGGCTACAATATTTAACCGTAATAAAATATTACAAATTTGGCTATCCCTGAACACAACTGAATAAAGTGAGGATATCAACCTAGTACAGCAGAGGTAGCGGTGATCTGCGCCAGAGAAAACGAAACTAGCCAGTTCATTGTCAAGAACTTCAAGACAGCTAGTGTTCCGAAGTTCGTCAACGGACGGACAACGTGAAACTGAGCCACTGGGCAGTGAGTCCTAGTTGCCATTGCAATCGCGACAACTTTTTCTTGTCCAGCAATTCGTAATCAATGTAACACAGTTTAACGCAGTCACAGCACGTTGGATTGAAAGTAGGGGATTGCGATATCTGACCCTGAACGCTGCTACTATGTGTGGATATTGCTCATCATAATGTAAATACGAAGACGTTTTTACAATCGCTTCTTTTTCTGTTTGTCAAAGATTAGGGTTGCAACAGTGATGCCGCGAGNAAAAAAAAACATCGAGATAACGTTCGAAAGATAGCACACCCGGGCCTTAAATGGAGTGTGATTTACACTACTTTTTTGTTAGTGTTGTTCAGAATACTTTTGTTTTTTAACATTTGAAAATCCAAAGGGATAGCTATACTTTCAGCTGTATACATAATTATAGGTATCTATAACTACAGTCAAGGTTTCATATAAGATACCTACGGCTTGGATTATTTTTCAACGGGAAAAGAGTGATTATAAGGATCAAACGGAGTTAAGGGTCAAACGGGAGGGTCGAACGAAGTGATCATAAGGGTCAAATGACCTTAAAGTTCAAAAGTTCAAATGTGAGGGTCAAGTGACGTAATCAGAAGGGTTAAACGCTCCCGAGGGTCACCCCTTTTCTTCGACGCTATAACTATTAAAATGATGACGCAGAATTGTCTTAATAGAATAAAGACTACACGGAAAGAAATGTTCAGTAAAAATTACGGAACTCACAGTTCGCTCATCGATTACGGAATCGACTCAGAAAATTTAAGTGACGGTATCGTAATTTTTCACAGGAGATTCAGATAAAAATGACAGAACGCTCGGGAAAAATTCCGTGACAATTCCCTACAAGCACAATTCGCTCCGGAATTACGGAAAAGATACGTAATTTTTATTGAATATTTCTCTCTGTGTAATTGAAATTCAATTAATTTACGTACTTTCAAAAATTGGTACTTCCGCAGTCCAGAAGTGTTTATTCTTCAGTTCCCCACAATCCCTCAACATCAGCTGCGATTCTATCACGCGGGGTGATACGCATTCAAAACATTAAACTCGTATAAATAGATTAGCTATTAATGTCCATTCAGTAAAACTGAATATTCCATGGAATTATGGCGCAACGAGCAAGGTATCTTATTTCAAACGGCTGATCCCTATTTTTCTCCTCTCTATTAGCGCGCGTAGTGGGGGTATACGAATTTCCGGAATTCCGCTCTCCTACTGTCCCTAAGGTATCTTATATAAAGCATTGACTGTTTAGTTATGGCCGTAGTAATACCTATGAATAGAGTCAAATTATAGCTGAATAGATCGGGGACAAAAAACACTACACGGATTTTTTCAAAAGGAAAAATTTGTAACTCACGTTTGGGTTTCTTTGAGAAATGGAGTCACTTCTCCGTTATCTAGGAGTGCCGAACGTCCAAGTAATGTTTCTATAAAAAACAATAGACAAACATTAGAAAAAGTATTTGAAATCAATGATAAACTCCTCACCAAAGGTGATATCGCCAATGCAGAAGGGAAGGTAATCAAGAGCATCGAATTCTCCCGCACCGACTTTCGCCTCGAGTTGTTTGACGAGTGCCTGAGACTTCAGATTGAATAATTTTGTGAATCTATCTATCACCAGACTACCGTTGAGCATGGGTTGTATCAATTTTTTGTGAGCTTTGTAAATAGCACCTGAAGAATCGATTATTGATTAATTGCGAGCGAAGAATACTGTGTCGAGGTGACTGATAGTTTTTGTCGATGAAGGATTTTATTCTTCAATGATTACCATTAGCATTTATGAGAGCGCCAACTATACCAGGCTCCATCAACTTGTAGATATCATCCTTATTAGCGGCTTTTGAGGATGTAATAAGAATCTAACGAGAAAACATGAGACGGATTTCAGTAGAAAATCGTTTCGAGTCGAACGCTCATGTTCTGATTATATCTATTCATGAAAAAAGACTATAGAGAGATGTTCAAATTAGTTTTTCAATTTGTCACGAATACAAATATAGTATAATATCTCATTTAATAATGATTACACGAGAATATTATGCGAATCATAAACTCAGACACCTTAATTCAGTAGCGAAGTGGTAAAACGGTACAAGTCAATTTTAACTATCGGCTAGTTTCAAAGAAATATCCCGGAACCTAAGGGAGATATCAAAATTGTCGTTACAACCTTTTTTCTAGAGCCGATTGAGAGTTACAACAAATGTAATTACGAAAATTTCGCTATGTGTCTTAGATTCGGAAATATTCTTCAAAAACTCAACTGGGAGATAAGTCGACTGGAACCGTTCTACCACTTCGCTATTGAATTGTATTTATGTGGAGAAAATTATTTGGTGAATTTCAACTAGTCATAGAAATTTAACAACAAATTGTAGACTATTGCGAAACCATCTTCTAGGGGAGAAATTAATCGATTATTAAGATATAAATGATTGCGGGATTATTTCCCGATTGATTGAAAGAAAAACTTATAATCAAATAATCAAATAAGGGGTCTACTCTTGCAGGCAAAATTGATTGAATTTATTAAATTAGAGGTTCAGCTAATTGCTTTTTATAGCTGACCAATGTGTTATAGATGACCAACAATTTAAGCGGAAACTTCCCGTAATCCATCGGAAAAAATGACGAACGTTTATCGAAAATCTAACAAATTGTTGTCGAATGAAATTGAAAAATTGTTTCTGAATTTTAATTAAATGGTAGTTAAATTTCATCAACTAGTTGGTGAATTTGAAAAACTAGTTCCTGACATTTACTAAATTATATTTTCCGTGTATCCTATAAACGTTAATTGGTATGTTCATGATCAAGTGCTATATGAATACAGAATTTCTGTCAATTTTTAATAGTTTTAACACCATTCGTTTGCCATGATAGCTCAAATTTTCAGAAATGTATCGTGCGAACAAATAAGTGGATTTGAATAGGGGAGGGTAGGGTAAAACGGACCGGGAGGGCAAAGCGGGCCCCTAGGGCAAAACGGACCACTGCCAGAAAATTGTTAATTTTAATTTTTTTTCTTTCCTTCAAATCAGGAACATTGAATGTGTTGAATTAAAAGTGATTTTCTTGGATCGTAACCGTCACAGGGGTTTTATAGACAACAGGTGTTGTTGAACCGCGATTTGATCAGATTTGCTAATCATCTCAAACCACAAATGACTTCGAATTAGCTCCATTCGGAATCAAAAACAAAAATTTTCAATTTTCTGTCAGTGGTCCGTTTTGCCCTAGCGGTCCGTTTTGCCCGTCTGAACCGTTTTGCTCTACCCTCCCCTGCATTGAAAATGATTCCTTCAGTTTTTTCAAATCTTTTGCGTATAAAAATACTCAAAAATTGCAGAAGGATTTAATAACACATTTTTCTATTTCTTTCCTTTTAAAATTCAATCTTCTGGAAAGGGCCAATCGAAAATCGAGTCTGGGCACCAACCTGTATATCCTGAGGATCAGGAACCACAACTTTTAGGAGAGGTCCCACCCAAAACCTAAACGTCACTCCATTCATTTCCCGACTAATTTTAGACAGAGTAAAAATGGCCCCTGAAATCACACCAAAACAATCAATAATTCCACTAATACATTCATCCTGATTGAATCCTTGATTAGCAAATCGAAATTACTGTCGCCGTCCCTGATGGCGAAGGCATTTCCGATGAGCGGTAGTGTCGGTGGACCCGGAAGTGTCTCCGCGAGCTTCAGAAATGTCCCTCTGTCTTCGAAAAACTGCCGAATATGCTCTCGATATGGGAACAATCCCTTCAAAATCGTGAGGATGACAAGAATAAAACCTGGGAAGACCCATACACTGTTAGAAAATTACCCTTGAAATTTCAAGTAAAAAAATTTTGAAATTTTTAACAACAAATAATTTACATGGAATTTCCATTGATCTTATTATTGATAAATCAGTCAATCTTCTTGAATATTGAGTGAAATTTGATTTTTCAATAATTTTTCAGTAATGAAAATTACTGAAAATGATGAAAACTCAGGCAACTTTTCTTCTCACTTTTCAATCTGTTGCTTAATTTTCGCGATAGGTTTAAAAATTCAAATGGTCATTGAAAATTCAATGATTATTCATAATGAAAAACTTAATTTTATTGAATTTCCAAGATGAATCAGGGATTCCACGAGCAATTGAGTCTGAAATTGAATTCAAGTTCAGAATATTGAAATCTCGAATGCATCTGTTGCTTAAATTTCAAAAAAATTCCAACAGTCTACTTTTTCATGAAAACACAACCAGGGATCCCCATCAAAATTAAATTTCTGTAATATTACAAGGATGTGACTCTTACATTAATGAAGGTTCAAAATATGTTGATTCAATTTTTCAAGTAATATAATATTAGTAATCTGATTTTTTACGAATAATGATGTATTTAAAATTTATTAATATGAAACTGTAAATTTACTACTAAATGAATAATTCAAATTTCTTGAAAGGGGATTTTCGATTATACAAATAATCATCATCTTCCTACCTCGATTATTCATTGACAAAATAGTTAAAAATTTCAATATTTGAATTGATGATATTTAAGTACTCAAAAAATTTCAAGAGTGATGTCATCTAATTGATGGCTACAATATTTAACCGTAATAAAATATTACAAATTTGGCTATCCCTGAACACAACTGAATAAAGTGAGGATATCAACCTAGTACAGCAGAGGTAGCGGTGATCTGCGCCAGAGAAAACGAAACTAGCCAGTTCATTGTCAAGAACTTCAAGACAGCTAGTGTTCCGAAGTTCGTCAACGGACGGACAACGTGAAACTGAGCCACTGGGCAGTGAGTCCTAGTTGCCATTGCAATCGCGACAACTTTTTCTTGTCCAGCAATTCGTAATCAATGTAACACAGTTTAACGCAGTCACAGCACGTTGGATTGAAAGTAGGGGATTGCGATATCTGACCCTGAACGCTGCTACTATGTGTGGATATTGCTCATCATAATGTAAATACGAAGACGTTTTTACAATCGCTTCTTTTTCTGTTTGTCAAAGATTAGGGTTGCAACAGTGATGCCGCGAGACGAGATGAGAAACTGCATCGCCTTGTCTCGTTTCGTATCGCAATACGAGAGCAATTTCTTCTCTTGTCTCGTCGACAATTGAGAGATTCTCCCATCTCGTCTTGTCTCGTCTCGTCTCGTCTCATCTCGTCTCATCTCGTCTCGTCCCGTCTTGTCTCGTCTCGTCCCGTCTTGTCTCGTTTCGTCTCGTCTCGTCTCGTTTCGTCTTGTCTCGTCTCGTCTTGTCTCGTTTCGTCTCGTCTCACCTCGTCTCGTCTCATCTCGTCTCATCTCGTCTCGTTTCGTCTTGTCTCGTCTGGTCTCGTCTTGTCTCGTTTCGTCTCGGCTTATCTCGTCTCTATAATCCATTCCATTCCATTTTTTGTGTATCTATTTTGCACGGAAAATAAATACACAGAGGGGCGAGAGGGGGAGGCTCTCCCGACTCTCGTCTCGCCTCTCGTTTCACTCATTCTCGACCGGCTTTTCTTGTCTCGTCTCGTATTGTCATGTCTCTCGTCTCATTTGTCTCATCTCGTTTCGCGTCTCGCGGCATCACTAGATTGCAGTGATTTTAGAATTTATATATTCAAGTAATCAAATATTTTTTCAAATCCCCAAATAAAGCATTGTCGTCGAGGCGATGAGACGTATCGCTGACCCGGAGAACGCGGTCTCTCTCGAGGCCATCGATCTCGATGAATACAAATCGTATAATTTCATTGTTACATGCGTTCGAACTGTCTGAGTCATTTTTATTTGTCAAGAACGTATTTGATATGGGCCCGGTTCAGGGATGGTCATCAATATTAACTTTCGTCAATATTAAACGGATGTGCGACGTACATTAATAAAGGTTTAAATATACTCATCAAAATTAAAAAATAGTATAGTATTGATAATTTAAATTTCTGATTAAAAATGAATTAAATACTTGATAATATGGAGCTGCAAATTTTCCATCAAGTAAATATTTCTAATTTCTGAAAAGGGATTATCGATTGACCGAATAATCGGCAATCTTTTGCCTAAATTATTGATTAATAAAATAGTTTAAAATTTTAGTATTTCAACTGATGGTTGCTTTATTAATAATTAAAAATGTAAGAGTGATATTAACTAAATGTCGGCTTCAAAATTTAACGGTAATGATGATTTATGAATATGGCTATACCTGGCCCGGTTGCACCAAGCCCAGTTAAGAAAATCCTCAGTTAAGGTATCCTTGACGGATCACTCGATAGGGGGGTCGCGTTGTTCACTCAGTCGAGTGCTAGTCGAGCACGGTTCGATTGATTGACGATCGATAAACCAACGATCCACTAGCAAACGACCAGCAATCAACCACTGTTCGACTAACTATCCATTCAGTCATCAACCAATGATCGACCGACCATCGATCGAGTGAACACTCGATCACTAGTCTTTGGATCCGATTGTCTTGGGATGTACCTTAAGTATCGGAATGAATTAAAATTACCTGCCGATCGATTTTTATCGACAGTTCATCGAAAATATTTTACCAAAAAACGTATATTGATGAATCATCACTATTCGCCAATAATACCATTAATTTTTTGTATTTCGTCAATATTCAAAACCAAATGGCTGAATGACAGCACTCTACGATGGCTTCCTAAAATTGTCTAACTGTGGAATAAATTTACTCCAGACAAATTTATTCTGACTGAGAATCAATTTATCTACTGAATGAATTATTCATTGAATAAATAAAAGGATAATTTACAGGCAGTTTGAATCAATAAACTGTCAATCAATTTTGATCGAAAGTGCATCGAAGATATTACACCAAAAAACGTGGTGTATCGATGCATCATTTCTATTCGCCAATAATACCATTAATGATGACGTATTTAATCAATATTCACGACCGCATGGCTGTATCAAAGCACTCTACGATGAATTCTTTAAATTGTCCAACTGTGGAATAAATTTCCTCCAGACATAAATTTATTCTGACGATTTATTCAGCTAACAGGGCTTGGTACAACAGGCCCTTAAGGGGTAACAGAAGGCCACCGTTTCCTCGAAATTTTCAAAAAAATTTCCTGCTCAAAGTTATTAATATTTTTCGAACCCAAAGCACATTGATCTTCATCGTCACCTGTAGATTAATGTTCTTCGATTTGTAAAAATATCGATAACTTTCGGTAGAAAATTTGTTCAAAAATTTCCCGAGTCGAATAATTGGACCTGACAAATTCTACTTAGGTCTCTCCGTTCAGAACTGGATAGGTCTTGGGAAGCCTCTTCCCAAGTGCTTCCGAGACCTTTCTACCTCTGGTTATGTCCCATTTCAGCACTTGTTAGGTGTAAGCAGCACTTGCATTCAGACTTTCCAAATCCTTGCCGGTCCCCGTAATTCTATGGGCCTATATTAAATCTGCGTTCATATCCCTATTTACTCATGCGTTATTGAAATAAAAAATGCAATTATTGTTTTTTTTT